ATCTGTGTCTGTAGCAGTGGTGGTTTTCTTTTTTTTTTTCTTCTTTCTTTTTTTTTTTTTCCCAACACCACACAGAGCAACTATAGAGGGGGAAAAAAAATAAAAACAACTCCCACCAAACAAACCAACAACACTACTCTTTATTTTTCGTAAGACCAGAAGTAAAACCCCTGTAACAGGAACTCAGTGTGCCTTCTCTCTGCACACGCTGCCTCGTAAAAGGGCAGAGAAATGCATTAGTATTTATTTTGCACACAGAACAGACTCTTTTATAATTCTTTGAATTTGGATTTTCAGTCTTTATGTCTGAGTTTTGAGTCCCGGTGTTCCCTGCAGTGTGTTACAGCAAAGGGTAAAAGAGTTAGAACACGGACTAGAGCAGAAAGTGTAAAAATATTTTGGAAGTGATAAATACACAGCTGCTAAAAAGGGTTTAGTTATCTTCATCTATATTATTAATATGGAATCTTCTCCAAATGTTCTGTGTAATACTTTGTCACATTTCTCTAAGGTAGAGGTGAATTACTCTCCTCCTTCCCAAAGTCACACAGAGACCCTGAGTCATGACCAGAAATAGAGATTATCAAACTTCTAAAGATCGTCAAACTTCTAAAGATGTGCCTCTTCACGCTTAGAACTTTCTCAGCATTTTGGAGCACTACTTTTCCTTCTCCGAAGCAGCTATATGCTGATCACTTAGATGCCGTTTTGTGATAACGAAGTTTCCAGAAGGATGCTTGAGGAAGTTTAGGTCTGTAATTCGAATTTCAGACTTTGCGGGGGCAAGGGTTGTAGCAATCGGAGTCACTCAAGGATATTCCTAGAATGACAAAGTTTTCCACAGACAGTTTTAAAAGCTGGCAAACAAAATTGGATTATTTATTTATTTTTTAAAATGTAAACAACAAACATCCTCTCTTTTATATTTCCGCTTCATCTGGTCTTCTAAATTCAGACTGCTCTTTTTGACACCCAGCCAACATTCTCCTCTGGAATGTTTCATGGAGGTCTCTTAACTCTGAATTCAGGAAATCTGAACATGAGGAGAAACTTCTTTCCTGTGAGGGTGGCAGAGCCCTGGAAGAGGCTGCCCAGAGAGGTGGTGGAGTCTCCTGCTCTGCAGACATTCAGAACCCCCTTGAACATGTTTCTGTGCAACCTGCTCTGGGTGACCCTGCTCTGGCAGGGGGTTGGACTGGATGGTCCAGAGGTCCCTTCCAACACTTACCATTCTGTGAAATCAGAGTGTGGCTGGCAGAGAGATCCAGGGGCAGCAGATCTCCATTTTTGGTGCCGCAAGGGTGAATCCCTGTGCTATAGCGACGTTCCAGGAATGCTGGTAGCACAAGATGAAAATGGAAAATTATGTTATGTTTAAACCCTATGGCTTTACTGTTCCTTGAGAAAACTAGGATTTGAAGGAAGGTTGATAGGAACTCTGGAATCCACTTGGAAATCCTTAGGAAAGCTGAGGATGACTCTTTGGGTTCTGGAATCTGGGCATGCAGAGAGATAATGTGTTATTCCATGTGCTTGATGTTGTGCTAAGGCACATCTGCACTGGTACAGATGAATCTTGAAGGTAACTTCAGCAAGACGTGTAGTATACTCTGAGAAACAACGAGTCATGATTTACTGATTTGTGTGCCTGATAAATGAAATTGCATTAAGTTTGAGCTGATATTTCTCCTTGGGTGGGTGCAGGTTTTTGGGTTTTGGTTGGTTGGGGTTTTTTTATGAGCATGGAAATAACAAGTGCAAATTGATTGCTACAGTTGTTTGCTCAGCCCAGTAGCAGGGGTCATTTAGCTGTGTCTTTGCAATTTGTAATACTTCTTCATGTAATGTGGGGCTCAGCAGTGACTCTGGACTTTGAGCAGCAGACTTGAAGTTATGGTGGAACTTTCAGAAAGCACCGGGCGCTATTTCAGGGGAATTTCTGACTTTTTGTGTGTGTCCGGTTCTTTAGTGATTCATAAATTGGCTGAGTTGTCCATTTTACTTTTCTATTTATTTTTTAACAGGTGCATTTTTTCTATGGTTAGTAATAGTTTATGTACTTTATCTGCAAAAAACTTCTATAAACTCTTTTCTCTTAGCTCAGCAGATGTCAACGCCTGAGTAGTTTCTGGCCATCCTTATATATTTTCCTCATAAGGTCTGTAATTTCTGTGTTGGGGTCCTTTTTTAAGACTGTGTCTACACATGACCTGCTTTTTCTTTGTTTATTACTTTTTGACGTTCTTGGTTGTCCTCAATTGATGTTTGAATAATTTTGGAGTCTTTTGAATAGCCATCTCTCCCTCAGACCTCCTTAAGACTGTGTCTAGACATAAACAAAGAAAAAGCAGGTCATTACTTTTTGAAGTTCTCGGTTGTCCTCAATTGGTGTTTGAATAATTTTGGAATCTTTTGAATAGCCATCTCTCCCTCAGACCTAATGTGTGTTAATTACAAGTTCAAAGACAACCTTAATCCAGCATTGTGACTATGGAAAAATAGATATTTTACGCTGTAACTGAAGCAACTACTTCTCCATCCTCCTGCCTGATGACAACTGTCTGTTCTCCCTGGCAAAGTCCTGGAGCAGAGGTGTTGTGTGTATGGAGTCAGCAGTGTCTCTGCCTTCTAGGCAAGGAGTTGGCATCATAGAAACCTAGGTTTCATTGTTGCTCACTTGGGAGTTGGGTGAGGACCACCAAGGATGGGTCTTGGTGGCAGGTGGATGGAAGTGTCTACCTACATGTTCTCCCCTGAATTCTCTTACCCCACTCTTCTAGAAAACATGAGATTTTTTTTTCAGTTACTTGGAGATACATGCAGCTTCATGGTATTCTTGTGTAAGTGCCCTGAAAGGTTCCAATGGTCGCATCCATAGATCTGTGGGACATAGCATGATGATTTTTTCAGGAAGCAAATCTGCATTGATGGGAACAACAGGCAGCAAGTCTTTAGGAAAAAAACTGGCATTGTGACTACGCTACCCCTACAGTGTGAGTACAGCAATGTAACACAGGGGCTGGAAAAGGCCGAAGTCATCCTAGGCCTCCCCAATGTAATTAGTGACGTGTCTGGGTTCTGTGAGGGTTTGGATATTTTCCTCTGTTCGGTTTCTGATAACCTCTGCAGATGTGGGGTCTGGGACAGACAGCTCTGTTTATTGCAGCTGATGTTATACTGCTCTTGACCTCGTGACTCTCAGCCAGCGTCTTGAATCGCTCGAGAATAACTAATGCCCCAGCTCCCAGCTCGTTTTCTGCTTCCCCCTCAGCCAAGTGAATGTTCACCTTCCTTCACAGTTACAGGAAATGGAGATCTTCTGGGATAACATAAGTGTGGGTGAGCGGTATGTTTGGTCTGTGGGGAAATAACGTGAACAGAGAGAGATTACAGGCAGTAAAAGCAGACATGAGTTTCAGAACTAGTTTTGTGAAATTTTTTTCTTTTTTCCTTTCCCCTCTCCGTTCTAAAATCTATTTAACACTGTTGGCTGGTTTAGTGAAAACTTTCGAAAAAATGAATTTAGAGTCATAAACAGGCTTTCTGGCTCTGTGTGGGATTGGTTGTGCACTGTACAGGCGATGTGTGGTCAATTTGCCATAACCCACCTCTCTGGATATGCACAGCAAGGAGAGGTATAAAGGGCTGTTGTCCACCGACAGTTAACTGCTGCAAGTGAATCAACGTCATTTTTTTACCATCCATAAAACATTAGATAGCAAGCCTAAATAGTCAGGAAAAAGAGGGGTTTAACGAAGTAGAAAATCTACATCACTGTAAACAGAGTGATATGAAACATACAGTGTGCTGGCAATATTCCTAACTTAATTCTGTTTATGTCCTGGATAACTAGATTTGTCTCTTCAGTAATAAAAATGTGTAATGCCAGTTACATAGTCCTCTTCAGCAGAGGAAGGATCACTGCTGGGGAATGAAAATGTTTGAGTCCCAGCAGAGAGGGGGGAAAAAAAGGGATGCTGTGACTGCCATCCTTCCACACAGGGGTTATTTATTGCCTCTTTTATGGAATTTGCACCACGCCAGAATTTAGATGAGTTCATGTACAGTGTACAATGCACAGTGACTTGGAGCTAAATGGTTATGAAAGACATGACATTTGTGCGCTTGTGGTGCCAGTTTTTAATGACTAAAGAATATGCGTGTCTGGGGGAAGAATTGTCAATGTAAGATTTCAGTCTACAGCGTGCAGATATTTTCAGAAAGCGCTCAAGTCTTTGGAATGAATTAATAAAAATTAATTATATTCTTTGTACGTTAAATATAATTTATTTCTTTTGGAATGACTTGCTGCTCATCTCTTCTTGTTGTTTCCAGTTCTTGAATGTGAAATATAAGAAAACGTAACTCTTTTGGTAATTTATTGGTGGTATTACTAACTTCTCATTTGATCCCCAAGGATGAGGTCCTGTAGAGGGAAGAGTGAACATGAACATTTTCATTAAACAAAACCAGGTGCAACTGGCTGTTATTTAAGCAAATTTACTTTACAATAAGTTTGATTATTAATACATCAGAAAAATTACTTGTGATTACTATGGTAAAAGTTACATTCCATAATCATATTTCCTGACTAGATTTAACTTAGAAATTAGCGGCTTATTTCAGTTTTGTCTTGTAGTCAATTTCTAAAGTGCTAGAGCAAGGTTTTGAAAATTACTCATTTTGCTCATGCCTAATTGTAGCATGAACACAGGGTGGAAGTGGTTCTTCAGAGAACGTTCAGTTTCTCAGCTTCATTAATATTTCACTGTTTAACTCTTTTTAACTCTATGTAGATAAGGTTTTATGTCATGTTAGGATAACAGGACTGCTAAATGCTTTATAAATAAAATACTTGGTTTAGATGCCGAATAATATTTTGATGTGACTCTGTATCCAAAGCATAAGAAATTTGGGAAACAAATTATAAACATAAACTGCCAAAAGTTGTTCAAGACTTCCTGAAATATCTTTTTCCTTATTTGTCTTGTTTCATGCAGGCTTTCCTTCACCGAATGATCCAATGTGCTGCAGCCAAAGTGGATAAAAATGTCACAGAAGAGACAGTTAAGGTTAGTCTCTTAATTGCATATTTCTTCTGTCTTGTATCTGATGTTTTATTTATGTATGTTTTATTCTTTCGCAGATGTTGTTTTCAAATATTGAAGATATTCTTGCAGTTCACAAAAACTTCCTGTCCCTGGTGGAGGAGTGCTTGCAGCCAGAACCTAATGCACAGCATGAAGTTGGAACCTGCTTTCTTCATTATGTATGTTATTTTTTTATTACAGCCTTATTTCACTTTTTTTCCAGTTATTAATTGTATTTATTAATTACTGTCATGATGACGAATGTACATAGTCATGAGAAGAAAATATGACTTGATTGCATAATGTAGAGTGCTTTGAGGTCATCTCAATAATCTGGTTATTGTCATTTAAAAAAAAAACAAAACAAAACAGAAAGGGGAGGAGAATGAAGAAAGAACATATCAAACAGGCAAAGTTTTGTTGTTTCATCATTTTTACATTCACCAAATTATCCCAGGCTGACAATCTGAGCCTGTGAGAGGGAGTTACAAGGATCAGGGTTGCACGAAACAGCAGAAGTAATAATATGCTTTATTTTTATTCCCCTTTGATGCTAGGCAAAAATGTGAATATTTAGCAAAGAATTGCATGTGCCGGGTAAAATATCTCCATGGTTCTGGACTGTGAATAATTTTTACTTCTCACAACTGCAGTACCTCCACAAGTATGTTTCTATGTCCTGCAGTAATTGTTTTCTAGCAGTGTTATTTTTCCTGCTGGAGCAAAACAAGGATGTCAGTGTTACAGAGCTCTGCAACATAAGCAAAAGTTAGTTTGTTTTCAGTTGTAGGCCTGAAAAAAGTCTAGGTTTTGCTGTTACCTCTGATTAGAGTCTCATTTGTTTGCTAAGTCCTTGTTTATTCATTGTGGGGGGAGAAAATTATTAATGGTTTATGGAAACATTTTACAGAAGTTGAGTAACATCAGGTTTTGACTCTGCAGAAATATGGATCATATTTCCAAATAAATGTTTGCAGACAAAATAGGTAATGATGTCAGCAAATAAGCCACTTATGCATTTTTTTCCCTGTTGTTTTTTTTTATCCTGTATTTTTGTGATAGTGCAGCCTCTGAATTTTTTCAGCAAAACCTTAGGAAGTTCAACAGAGATAAATTTCAAGTCTTGCACCTGGAAAAACATAATCCAGGGATGCAGCAGGGGCTTGGATGTACCTGGCTGGGGAGCAGCCCTGTGGAAAGGTACCTGGGGGTCCTGGTGGACAACAAGCTCAGTATGAGTAAATAGTGAGCTGCTGTGACAAAACCAACAAGATGCTGAGCTGCATCAATAAGGAAGTCGTTATCCCACTCTACTTGGCACTTGTCAGGCCACACCTGGAATGCTGTGTTCGATTTTGACCCCCGCTATACAAAAAAGATGTGGACAGGCTGGGGAGGGTCCAGAGAAGGGCCACCAAGATGATTGGGAGGCCTGCCATATGAGTAAAGGCTGAAAGAATTGGGTTTGTTCAGCCTTGAGGAAAAAAGGTTTAGGGGAGACTTTATCACCATGTTCCAGTATTTAAAGGGTGGCTACAAAGAAGATGGAGACTCCCTTTTTACAAGGAGTCACACAGAAAAGATGAGGGTACAAGTTGTTGCTGGGGAGATTCTGATTGGACACAAGAGGACAATTTTCCACTATGAGAACAATCAGCCATTGGAATAATGTCCCCAGGGAAGTGGTGGATTCCCTGTTGTTGGACACTTAAGATTCAGCTGAACAGGGTGCTGGGCCATCTTGTCTAGACTGTGCTTTTGCCAAGAAAGTTTGGACCAGATGATCCTTGAGGACCCTTCCAACTTGGTATTCTGTGATTCCATGACTGAAATTCCAAAGTGATGCTTGTAGACTGTTCATAATTATAATTTGAGGCTGGACCTCAAATAATAAATGTAGGAGGAAGAGCTGACCTTCTAAAATGAAGGCTATATTAGCTATTCAGCTCTGAAAAGTGTTCATTCCATGTTTTATTAATTAAAAAAAAATCAAAATGGAAAGTGAAGAACAATGTATTTCTTTGTTTTTGCAGAAAGAGAAATTCCGTATCTATGATGAATACTGCAGTAACCACGAGAAGGCACAGAAAGTTCTGCTTGACCTTAACAAAATAAGAACAGTGCGGACGTTTCTTTTGGTAAATAAACTTTGAACTGGTGTTCTGACTTAATGGTTTTTGCCTGGGCAGCTAATTGTTAGCAACTTCACCTCCACCATGTAACAACTGCAACTACAAGCACACCTGCAAGTGGTTAGAAGGGGGTGGTGTTTCCAGAAGAAGGGGTTGTGTACATCATATTTTCACCACTGCACTTGGATCCGTGCATAATACAGCATTAGGCAGTGTGCCTTGAGCTTGCTGGCCAAGAGACAAGAGTGTAAATCCACCCATGCCTGTAGAAATAAAAAAAAAAATGGGATGAGATATGTAAGGAGGGGTAGGGACAGAAATTAGAAAAAGGAAGCTGAAGGACTTGTCAGAACTTCTGAAGAGGTCCACGTTCTGGTACTGCAGGCCCTGGCTGTGCCAGACAGAAAAATGTTTTGTTATGGATCATGGAGTAGCCACCCTGATCTTAGATGCTGACTTCGTCTGAGGTCAAAAGAAACAGCTACACAATTAGTCTTCACTTAACAAGACAAGGAAGTGTTTTAAAACGTTAAGCCCAATGGTCCTCATGATTTTCCCACAGCAAAATGAGTTTTCATGTAAATACTGATTTTCCTAATAGTTCATATCAGTTGTTAAAAGAAGAATTTAGTATGGAATGATTTTTTTTGTGTTTTGGGGCCTACTATATTGGAGCTTAAATGCCTGATGAGGTCCCCTCAGATATGATACCAAACTTCATGATTATTGCATTTTAGGACGCTATAAGCAAAACATCACAAATAAGCTTAAAAAAAGAGATTCTGCCAATTCTGACAGTATCACAAGTTTTATCTAATTTTATTAATTATTTCTAGCATGCAGTAGGCTTTCACTACTGCTGTTGACAGAATTCTTGGTGAAGTTGTCCTGTTGCAACTCACTAAATTTTTTTAAGATTCTGGCTTCCCAGCTGTGTTTACTTACAGTGAAGAAGTTAAGGAGCAATATGTGAATTTCTTTATTATAGGGGGTACTGGGGGATAAGAAGCCTTTTCACTAAGAGTCTCTTACTCTTCAGCAGTGTTCCATTCATAGTTAAAAACAGCTTCAAAGTTGCCCTATTTTTCCTCATTGACTGACGCAGCATCCCTCACCTTGCCCCAGACTTGAGGAGCTGCACGCTCATAGTTCTTGTATTGGGAGCAGCATGGCCGGACTCAAGAAGAAGGGCGAATGCTGACCAGAGACAACAAGCAAAATTTTCCCATTAAAGACTGCAAAGACCATGTTTTTGTGAGAAAAGAAGTCAAGTATGCAGTTGTGGCAGTTCATGGTGTGTCAGTGTCATGTGCCCCTGCGCACATGTACAGGGCTTCCACATCTGTTGGAATGGGTCCAGAGGAGGCCACGGAAAAAGACTATGTTTTTGTGAGAAAAGAAGTCAAGTGTGCGGTTGTGGCAGTTCATGATGTATCAGTGTCATGTGCCCCTGGGCGCATGTACAGGGCTTCACATCTGTTGGAACAGGTCCAGAGGAGGCCACGGAAATGATCAGAGGGTTGGAGTACCTTTCCTATGAGGATAGGCTGAGAGAGTCGGGGTTGTTCAGCCTGGAGAAGAGAAGGCTCCAGGGAGACCTTAGAGCCCCTTCCAGTCACTGAAGGGACTACAGGAGAGATGGAAGAGAATCGGGGTTGTTCAGCCTGGAGAAGAGAAGGCTCTGGGGAGACCTTAGAGCTATGAAGGTGGTGAGACACTGGTCCAGGTTGCCCAGAGAAGCTGTGTCTGCCCCATGCCTGGAGGGGTTCAAGGCCAGGCTGGATGGGGCTTGGAGCAACCTGGTCTGGTGGGAGGTGTCCCTGCCCAGGGCAGGGGGTTGGAACTCCATGATCTTTAAGGACCCTTCCAAGCCAAATCATTCTGTGATCTGCTTTGGGTTCCTCATAGATTCAGGACATGTCTGTAGAACAAGTGATAGCAGTCTTGGAACTTAATGATCTTGAATGCCCCTTCCAACCCAAACCATTCTATGATTCTGTGATCTGCTTTGGGTTCCTCATAGATTCAGGACATGTCTGTAGAACAAGTGATAGCAGTCTAACCTAGAGAACAGATAATCTGACCTACTGATTTGAAAGAACAGTTGAAGCCTCTGGCCAGGCAGTTCAGCTCATTAGAGATGTGTTTATCTATAAATAATCAGGAGCTGGAACCAAACTTCTGGGCCTTTAAGTATAGAGACAGTCATTATATAAACCTATAGTCTTCATTTCCATTATCTTGCTCAATCTTTATCAGTAAAGCTTTTTCATTGGCAGGTTAAGTGAGATCCTTTAGGATAAAGGAACCTTTAGGGTAAGACAGAAGCTGGTTAATGATGAGTACAAAGCAGAGATTTAAGGGTGGGTGTAGAGATACCCCTAGGAGACCTAGTTATGTGGGGTGTGTGTCGTGGGTTATGTTCTGAGGCAGGGCGGCCACCTGGTTGTGTACCCTCTGTTCCATCAACAGCGTGCCTGCATCCAGATTTGTGGCCTGTGTCAACATACCATCTGGCTGTGTTAAACGTACCCCTAGGAGACCTAGTTATGTGGGTATGTCATGTGCTGAGGCAGGGCAGCCACCCAGTTGTGTACCCTCTGTTCCATCAACAGCGTGCCTGCATCCAGATTTGTGGCCTGTGTCAACATACCATCTGGCTGTGTTAAACTGCTTTTGTTTGGTGTTCTCAGTTTAGACATCTTGCTCTTTGAAGCTTTAGATTATCTCATACCGTTGCATCACAGTTCCTTCTGATCTCTCCATAAAATAATTTCCATCATTACTTTAGGTCTTTATGTACTTAAACTTTAATTCCAGCAATTTCAAATATTTGCTGTCATGTCCCTTCGTTATCTCAAATAGCCCTTATTCTTTTCTCTCTCTCTCTCAGCTGCTTTTCCCTGCGTGTTTCCACCCAATATCTCTTGTATCCTCTGCTTCCATAGTTGGATGTCTTCTCAAAACTCACATATTCTTAAGCACATGACTAAGGATATTTTATTCATTACACATCATGTTTAAATATAGAAACACATTAACAGAAGACTTTTTGCGTGTGTATTAGGATGGCTGTATTCAGACATTTAAAAGCATCTTCAATGCTACTTATTGTTGCAAACGCACCTTTGGGGACCAACAGCACCAATAGTGGTCACCCTGAATTAAATTAATTTTTATTTGTTCAAGTGTGAAAGCATATCATTGTGGTTTAGCCATCAGACAATATTTTTAACATTTTATTTACGGTATTTTTTTTTTTTTTAAGTTTTAAAAAAGGGCTACTCTTAATCAGACTGGATGAAGAGGGTACCTATGGGAGATGCCTGCATAACACCATTACTGCTTCCTTGTCATGTGCGATAGTCCATGTACTTGCCAATGCATGTGTTTAAGCCTGATCTTTGCACACTCTTGCCAACCTCCCTCATCACATATTTAACACATACATATATAATTTATATATAGCTTAGTCAATATTGCTGTATGTGCATGCCCTTGTCTTTATTTCTCATATTTTTCTAGGGATTTTTTAATAATTTCTGAAACTGTTTGTACTCTAGAATTGCATGCTCCTTGGAGGACGCAAGAACACAGATGTGCCATTGGAGGGATATCTAGTGACGCCAATACAGAGAATATGCAAGTATCCCCTTCTTTTGAAGGTACTTACAAGATTTTTATCTAGGACTTTATACTTCTACATAAAACCGGTTGCTAAGCATATTTCCAAACCGCAGGAACAATCTCTCTACACAGTGAATAATCTCTTTATTAGATATTGGACCCAGGCTCGCTCTCATTAAAGCTAGTGGCAAGTCTTCTGACATCAGTATCAAAAGGACTGAGGAGTTTGGCTGGGTCAAGATGATTAGCTCCCTTCTGCATCTCGTCGCGAGGTTGCCTCGCCATTGTTGAACCCAAGTGAGCCATTGAAGGGAGTTTAATGAGACTGGTCTCAGCTGGGTTTGACCATGTCCTCACTTAAAATGCTTGAGTTTGTTACTGACAGGCTTTGATGACTCTAATTTACCGGCACCAAACTGTAAATGAAAAATATTTATGAAAATGATTTGTGAGAAAAGCCGTAGGGTAACAGTAAGATGCTGTATGTGGTTCTGTGACCATTTATGTGTTTGTTCTTATCTTACTGTTACAACTTAAAACTTAATGAAAACTGTTAAATGTGCTGATAAACATTAGATATTCAAACCTCTAAGTCACTGAAATTTTTTGCGGGCTAGGAAATAAAATACTACAATCATCAGGAAAATAAATATTTGAAACAAATTTATGCTTAACAAAGTAAGGTTTAATGTTGTTTGTTTCAAACCACAAGAGAAAAGCCAGAGCCAGTTCTGCTCTAGGAGCTACTTGAAACCTGATTATTGGACAGTATTTTTCACAATCCATGTGTGAGTTTAGATCTGAAACATTGCCAGTTATGAGGCATATGCATTTCATTGCATTGACATTAAAATCTGATAAAGTAAACATGATAAAATAAAGGTTTTTAAAACAAGTTAAAGAATATCATAATTGCAGTGAGGTTTGAGTCATCCCAGATATCTGTGGTTTAACAGTTCCCTTGGCCTATTTTAGAATTATTTCTGTCTTCTATTTTTTGAATGGAGGATCTGCAGACAAAACAAGGGAAAATGAGTAATGAATTACTTCAGGAATAAAATCGACATGAATAGATTGATGTAAAATTTAAATACAGGGTGTGGTGATGTCAGAGTTGGGGCTCTAGGAGGATAGGAGGAATGTACCCACGCCTGTCAGGGTACGCACTGAAGGCTGTCCACAGCTGGTCCAGCTGTAAATGGGGAGCTGGTAGCTTAAGATGGAAAATCTCAAATATTGGCAACCCAACTTTTGTTTTTCAGTATTGCTGCCATTACCAGTAACCATCTGAACCCAGTGAGTCACCCAAGCTATTGTTCAGTGCTCGGTGTATTAAACAATTGCTGTGAGCTAAAGGAACATGGGCTTTGCCCTGATTTGCAGGAGAGGCAGGTGTTAATTTTTGACCTCCGTAAGCTAACATTTTTAAGCACAATTGTTATCCTTGCTATTGAACAGTTCCATCCTGTGGAATATAAGCAAACAAAAAAAACCACCCACCACCCAAACCCCAGAGCTCAACATGAACAAACATTGTTGGGGGGAGAAAGTAGTTGAAATGCAAACTTCTTCTTCAGTAGTGATTATTTTTATTGTTAGTAATTTATTTCTCTGAGTTTATGTCCTACCAGGACACATTGCTGGAGACTAGTAAAAGAGAAGTCTGGCTACTTTTTGATGTGGTATCTTAGTCAATTCCTGTAATGTACATTTAGAGATCAAAGACAGGTTATTTTTTATTTATTTGTTTTTGTTTTTTTTTTAAATGTTTAAATAGGAGTTACTGAAGCGGACCCCGAGGAAGCACAGTGACTATGCGGCACTAATGGAAGCCCTCCAGGCCATGAAGGCTGTCTGTTCCAACATAAATGAGGCCAAGAGACAAATGGAAAAATTAGAGTTTTTGGAAGAATGGCAGTCTCACGTGGAAGGATGGGAGGTACTGTCATAAGATTTGTCGCTTTCTATATTGAGGCAGGAGTGACAGTTTTCAAAAAACACATATTGCATTGGTTTTGTGATTCTGTGGTACTGTCAGCTCCTCAGTTCTGTGAAATCACAGCTGTTATTTGGGATCTATTCTGTAAATTTAAGTGTTGTCCGTGACTGAGCACCGCTGTATAAAATAGCAGACTTCCAGGAATGAGGGCAGATGATTAGTGTTCGACTTAGAATATTGAACACTTACATCAACACGTTTGTGTGCACACATACACATCTATAAATCCTAATTTAACCGATGCTCGGATTTTACTTCTGGCAACACCTGCTTAACAGCATTTGATTGGTTAAAAAAAAATTTTGATTACTTAGTATTGATTAAGCATTGAGTCCATTAGCTTTTGTCATCTTGTTGGTTGTCCTTTACTTTTGGCTGAGCTAAACTAACATAAATGTCTTCAATAGAATCTGTGTAAGACTTGGTGGTGTTTGGGTTTTTTTTGTTTTATAGTTTGCAAATGGAAGAGCTTTAATGCTTTAGTTTTGTGAAGAAACCATGGAGTTTTCAATAAGAACCAGAAGAGCCACCATTTCCCCTAGATAACGACAAGATCGAGTAGCTGCAGCACCAAAATTTTCCTTTTGTATTCTTTTGAGCACTATAATTCCTTTATACAGAAAGATAGATCTTTAATTTATCTTTATCTTTATTTTTAAATCTTTATCTTTAATTTGCCTTAGGTGTTTCATATCAAAATGTCTGAGCTGCCTGTACTGAGGTGGGAGGGAAACACAAGTAAAGTCCCAGTAAAAGCAAGTAATATAAACATTTTATTAAAAAACTGAGTTTTGAAAAAGATACATAGGTTTTCTTAAGACGTGAATTTCGACATGGAAGTTGTTCTTTGCTTTTTTGAGTAGTTTACTCAGATGTGCTACTTCTCTTCCTGAAAGAGCTGCTTAAGAAGTAGAGGAAGAGATTTTATCCCTTTAAGCTTCGTGGAAGGCTTGCTGGCTGGAAAAGGTAGCAAGGAAAATGTGTTTTTCCACGTTAGTCTGATAGACTGAGACCTGATCTTTCAGCTGTGTAGTGGGAAATTGCCTTTGTACAGTGCAGAGAAAAGGTTGGGGACACTGTATCAGAGAGAGAGATTTGAGATAGATCTGCCAGAACTTGAACTGAGAGTTCCCCGAGAAGCCTGAAAATTAGAATATCGATTGGAACAGTCAATTTTTTAAGGAGGTATTCATAATAATAGATAAAACAGCAGAAACAAAAGCATAGTTTCTCTGCAGTTCTCTTCTCTCCCTACATCTCCTGCCATCTCTCTCCACACCTGCTGTTCCTTGAACTTGCCGTGTCCAAGGATGGGCTCTGCTTCAGCAGCAGTGGATTCAGTCTCCCCCTGCCTTCCAGGAGGGTTGAGCAGAACAAGCCACTCTCTGAAAGGAGCATAAAAATCACACTGAACAAAGAACCCCCTAAATACTGCCCAGGGCACCGCAAAATTATTTCCTGTCAGTTCCACGTGAAATCTCCTGATCTGTGGACTTACACAAACCTTTGGTTTGCTGTTAATTGAGGAGTGTGGGAAGATTTGCTGCATTCTAAATGTGGATTAAGCACCTAATTTTACTTTAATCAAAATTCTTCGTCTTCCTTCAGTGCATTGTGGGATTTTAAATGTATCACTTCAGGTATTTTTCTTTTTTTCTGTGTTAGCAGCATTTTCAAGAACCACTCTTCCCTTTCTGTAATTGGGGTACGTACAGTTTGGAGCAGGGAAATCCTATTATGCCAGAGTTCAGGGCACTGTAGTCTTTTGGTATGGGACTGTCACTATAACACATTGCATAGAAATTCACTGCGCCTGAAGAGAAGGAATTTTAGCAAGAATAAAAGCTGTATAATTACCAGTCTGTATTCAGACAAACATTTCAGACAAACCTTTCTGCATTTAATCGTAATCCGCAATCTCAAATAAATAAAAAAATAAATAAAGCCATTAAAGACAAATGACAGAGAATGTGTACTCATGCCATGATATTGTTTGTAGGATTTTGAAAAAGAAATGACTACTACTTAATAAAGCAAACCTCCAAATGTTGTAATTGAGAGGAGGTCTAGTTGACCTAACACTTTCCAAAAGAAGCAATGTTCTGTAAACTTGGTGAAAATAAGTCTCCTTTATAATTAGCTTGAACTTGCTGTCATCAGCAATAACTTGGAAAGATTACTGTATGTGAATATTAAAATACATTAGACATGCTTGTGCAATAACTTCCTGATAGAGGCAATGGCAAGTGCTTATGCTGCTGAATATTTTATGGCAAGGAAATTCGTTAAATAATCTTTATTGCCTATCACTGACTTTACTCCTTCTATTATTTTCAACTTTTCAATTACATTTTCTACTGCGCTATAGTGATTAAAATTCTCCTACTTGCTCTCAGTGCCTGATTCTTACAGATACTTGTCAAATCCATCCTAATGAACACACTCAAGTATAAAGTTACAGCTTTATTAACTCAATGCACGATTAGTCATATACTTTGGTTGAGAACTGACTGTTCTCAAACCAATAGTGCTGAAAAGGGAATCCACTTTCCTGAGTTAATTTTCTTCTGAATGTTTATTAAGACATAACAGTAGTAAATATATTTGCTGCTGGAAATATATTAAGGCAACAATAAGGAAAGGTAACAATATGGACAGAAGCATGAAGAAACAAAGTCTTATTCTCTCTGTCCTCAGATCATGTTCTGTGAACGGTAACTTAGTAATTTCCCTCCAACCTTGGAATATTTTTTTTGGTTGGGTCCCACCCCAGATTAATTTTAGGATTTCACTTGTGCTTGAACTCTGAAATAGCGCCATTGGCTTAAAATAGTATGTTTTCAGTAGAGTTATGTGGTAGTTATTGTAGTTCAGCTGATGAGGTTTGATGTTACCGTATGTCAGCCACAGGGTGCCCAATCTGGCAAAGTTGCCCTGATCTTAATACGTGCATCCTTTTCACAAGTAATATACACTTAGTCCTTGAAAAGGTAAAAATTCCAGCCCATATATAAGAGCTAACAGTATTTTGAATTATTCCCAACAACAACTAAAAAAAAAAATATAAAAATCTCTGAGTGCAATGCATGAGAGTGGATTTAATTAAATAAACATCTGGTTTTCTGCATTGCCTAAAAATAAAGAGGCAAACTTGTTGGAGATTTCCTTCCAGAAGGAAATGCTTAGCACATTGCTTGGCCTCAACTAGAAGGAAAGGGAAAAAAATAAAGACTATTTTTAGAATCTGATCAAAGCATGACTTGAATTCCTATACATAAGTGTCATAAAATGAAGCTTGTGTTTATTATAATAAAAATACAGATTCATGGAAAAATGAAACATCTGTTTCAAGGACGAAAATTTTGAGTATAATGACTTTCTCACTTAATTTCCTAAGTGGTTTAATTTATTGGCCTGAATTCAGAACTTGTGTAGGTGGCTGTCTCAGCTGGAGAACGGCTCAGCAGCTGAAGGAGTCTGTCAGTAGGATTTGCGTGGACGTTTCAGTGAGAGAAGAAAAAAACAAAATTGCTGCGTTTGTTGTAAGCTGGAAACCGAACAACCCAGCCTGAGTCACAGGCCAACTTAGTGACAGGAGCATGGGGTATTCAGTTCCTTTCCGTTCCATGTCATCAAGTAGTATTTTAAGAGAGTTTTCTGTTTTAAATTCCAGAATTTTTAGCCCTTTCCCCTGTTTTATTTCTGTTTCATATACCCACGTGCAAGTATTGAAGAGTAAGTTAATATCTGCTATTTCTGGCCTTTATCACTGCTAGCATGATGGCCACTGAATCAGTATGGTCAGACCTCTTGTTTGACTGAAATTTGCCCAGAATACATGGATAAGTAGCTTTTGTAACGAATAAAACCAACAAATGCTGCTTTTGATCTCAAGGTAATGAAGGGCATTTTTTAATGTCAAAGATGGGCATTTAATGTCTTAAGGATGAGGGGGATATTGTCTTACATATCTTGCATATAGTCTCTCTCCTTCCAGTGCATTTTAAATGTATGTATTTTGGGATACAGTCATGGTAGCCCACATCTCAGAGCTCTGGCCTTAGTGGACTGATGGGCAACTGACTGGCAGCCCAGGGCTCTTAGGAGCCACTTTTATCTAAATAGCCTGCAAGCTCTGTGATCTCATGGACTTTTAACTTCACAGAATCACATGGGCTTGGAAGGGACCTCTGGAGATCATCAAGTCTGACCCCCATACCAAAGCAGGTCAACCCAGAGCAGGTTGCACAGGAATGTGTCCAGGTGGGTTTGGAATGTCTCCAGAGACAGAGACTCCACCACCTCCCTGGGCAGCCTCTTCCAGGGCTCTGCCACCCTCACAGGAAAGAAGTTCCTCCTCATGTTTAGATGGAATTTCCTATGTTCCAGTTGCCCATCACCTCTTGAAGTGTCCCTGGGCACCACTGAAAAAAGACTGGCCCCATCCTCCTGACACCCACCCTTTCAGTATTTATAGGTGTTGATCAGATCCCCCCTCAGTCTTCTTTTCTTCAGACTAAAAAGACCCAAGTCCCTCAGCCTTTCCTCATAAGAGAGACTGGCTGTCCTGGAAACCCACACAATCCTCAGCCCCAGTGTGACCTGCAGGAGGGAACTGCTCTACCATTAGATGTTTGGAGTCTTCAGTGGTTCAGTAGGAAAGATGGAGGAAAACTATTCTGGCTTCAGAGTATACACCTGCCTTGGAAAGCAGAAACTTGCTTTGCAGTTTTTTTTCCAGTTGAATCCTTTATATTTGGAAGATGATTAGAACAGATTTGTTTCTACCAAACATGGCATTTTCAAGTGAACATATCACAAAAATGTTGTTTTAAGTGAAAATGCCCCATCAGCTCTAATTGCAGGTGCTTTAAATGTATAGAAACATGAATTGTAGCATAGCAGTACGTTTTATGTTTAGGTTGAACCAACCCTATGATCTTCCCTTGCAAGCACTGGGTATAAACGTATGTATTCATGAAAACTTCGAAGTAGCGAATTGCTTTTCAGATTCAAATTGCTCATATTCGAGGTTTCCCTGGTAGTTTCAATTCAAACATTTAATGAGAACACATTTGTGTTAGAAGGTGTTGGTGATGTTTGCTCCAAAAGTACTGCTTGTAGGTAGCGTAGTTCAGTTTTATCTGTGCAGTAGGTAGCTCCAAGTCCACCCCCAAGTCTAGGAACAGGCTGACCCTAATGGTGTTACACGGGCAGGGGGGTGGCAGGAGATTTTTAGGCGCTGGCAGCGTTGTGTGGGACAACCAGATGTGACTTCTCATCCTCATAACTTATTCCCTTGGACTTCAGCAAATAAACCAGCAGTAACAGAATTCACTGACCTGTGGCCACCCCAGCCATGGGTTGTGATCTTGTCAAAAGGTATCTGATAAGTGAAGTTAATACAGTTCAGTATTTGGACGGGAGGTCTCCAAGGGGGAAAAAAAAATACCTCTAGAATGTTTTGGTTTTTTTTTTCCATCATCTAGCAGTTTATATTAGAAAAGGAAGAAAATGAAGAGGAAAAACACTAGCGAAGGGTAGCAATGTTTTACAGATAATACTCACTGTCATATTGCAACGTTGGACTTGGATCATGAATGAGGCAAATCTTGATAATTCGGGTCACCTGAATTATATACATTTAAAATGGATATAAAATATGGTATTTTATATGATGCTGTCACAGTAGCAGATCGTGCTAGGACTTTTGGGGAAAGGTTGTGTTTTTCTACAGTCAAAATTGAATTTTTCAATAAGAGAGACAAAATGTTTTCATAAAACCCTTTTGGTGAAAAAATAAACCCATTAGGAGAAAACTGAAACTGCTGAAATAATTTTGAAGCCTTAAGCTGAAATTTTATTGGCTTCCTTACAAAAATTTACAATTTTCAGCAAAGCTGAAGTTTTCTGTAAAAACAAAGCAAAAACCTTTAAAAATATCCAGCCATTTAAAATGTAAATTATTAGTAAGTACTGTTCCAGGAAACTTTAAAAGCAGCATAAGGTATTGGTTACTCTTTTTAATACACAAAAGCAATGAGATAGAATGGAAAGAAAACGACCTGCTTTTCTGTGGTTGTGGGCAGCAAATATTAAGTGCAGCCCTAATTTGGGCTTAATTTGTATTACCGGGTGTGCTTTTAAGGTGTTTCAGTGTTTGGTTTCAAATGAAACTGTGCAGTTATTGTGCCAGCTTCTGGCACTTCTGTCTTAAGAAGGGAATCATGGTCTAGTGGCAATAGATGACATTAATTTTTGGTTCATTTGGTCCTAAATGGAAACAGAGAGTGGTTAGTTAATACTGATACCGAAGCTGCTTTATTTAGAGACCTGAGTTGTGTGCCAGTGGGATGGTTGTGCAATCTTGGTTATCATCTCAGTATAAACAGACTGCATTCTCCTCAGGACAGAGCCTGAGAGATTGCTCAATATTCAGTGCCGTGATGTCCAGAGGATGAATGGGGGGATGAAGAGCTGAGAGCAGAAGCCATGACGGCTTCTTGGCTCTTAATTGGATGCATTTTTCTTTGGGCTGCTGCTGTGGTTAGCTCAAGAAGAGGAAGTAACTGCAGCTATTGCAGGCATAACTCTTTCGGAACGTGTGTAGATGAAAGGAAAGTCCTGGCTTTTGCAGGTTTTCCTACCCCGAGTTAGGAAACTCCTCGAGCCGTGGGTGTGTGGTTGGTGCGGCCAGTGGGCATCATTATCAGTAGGATGACTCCCCCACAGAAGCATAGATCTTCAGAAAAGCTAAAATACATCTCTGAATTCAAGACAGGCTTCCTTGAGAGGGAAATGCACTTTGTAAGGCATAGAAGTGCCAGGACTTTTTCACAGAAATATTTTTTTGAAAATGTTATCCTTTGTTAAAGTTGCTTCATTTTCATTAATCTTTATGAAAATGCCCCATAGAAATGGTCATCCCCCTGTACTGGGCACTGGTGAGGCCCCCCCTCGAGTGCTGTGTCCAGTTTTGGGCCCCTCACCACAAAAAAGACCTAGAGGGGCTGCAGCGGGTCCAGAGAAGGGCAACGGAGCTGGTGAGGGGTCTGGAGCACAAGTCTTACGAGGAGAGGCTGAGGGAGCTGGGGGGGTTCAGCCTGGAGAAAAGGAGGCTGAGGGGAGACCTTCACACTCTCTCCAACTCCCTGAAAGGAGGGTGTAGCCGGGGGGGGGCGGTCTCTTCTCCCAAGGAACAGGCCATGGGACAAGAGGAAACGGCCTCAAGTTGTGCCAGGGGAGGTTCAGATTGGAGCTTAGGAACAATTTCTCCACCGAAAGGGTTATGAAGCACTGGAACAGGCTGCCCAGGGAAGTGGTGGGGTGCCCATCCCTGGAGGTATTTAAAAGATGGGTAGATATAGTGCTCAGAGATATGGTTTAGTGACGTTTTTTATCAGAGGTTGATGGTTGGACTTGATGATCTGAAAGTCCCTTCCAACCCAGGAAATTCTATGATTCTGTGATTCTTTTCACATGAAAGAACAATCTGCCTGAAGCAAAAATGAGGCATGGGAAGTTTCATCCCAAACATGTAAAGATTAGCAAACTTGTGATGCCTTCATCACATGGAGGAAGTACACTAATACTTAGTTGTATGTGCCCCTGTTAGCTTTACCTGAGTTTTAAGTCTTGCTTTTTTTTGATTTTGTCTTTAGTTTAGTTTGATGTATGTTCAATTTCCAGGTTGCTTCAGCTTCCAAGTTCATGTTGGCATAGATTGTGTCTTGTAAGGCCCCATTTTCAGACATTTCTGACTGAATAGTAAAGTTATCAAAGATAGGACTTATTGTATAAAGTTGGCCTGGTTTTTCGGGAGATGTCTCATGCACAGATATAATATAATTTGGAAACTTCAGTGATTAAACTTTATCCATTCAAAAAAACCACAAACCCTCCCCCCCAGTTAATGGCAATACTAAATGTATACAGAACTGGTGTTAAGCACCATTAGAAATTATTATTTAATTACAGTGTAATAAATTACCATGAGTTTTATTCTTGGTATTTCCAGAGAACAGTTACGGTTGTGAGTTTGTATAAGAAACTTTTCTTTAATTGATGCAGAGTCCTTAATGTCTCACAGGATAAAAGATAATCTCTTTCCAATTGATTTTAGGGGTCCAACATCACAGACACGTGCACAGAAATGCTGCGAAGTGGACTACTACTGAAAATTTCAGCAGGAAATATCCAAGAAAGGATATTTTTTCTTTTTGATAACCTTTTGGTCTACTGCAAAAAAAAGCACAGGTAAATGATTAATTTATACTTTCAAAAATAATGTCTTTTTCTCACAGTAGAGCTAATCCTCTGGCTGCTGTTTCATATGAATATGTGAACATCACTGAAGTGTTTACTGCAGTTAATTGCAATATAAAGTCAGCATTTTTAGAGGAAACCTGTCATCCAAAGAGAACTGTATTTAATTCAAACGTTGGAAAAACTTTATATGATTGCAGAATCCAAATGGTGAAGTACAGGGAGAAAGCTGGTTTTGTCAGTCTTCCACAATAAGTTATATGTAATGGCCTCACTCTCTTCTAGGAAGGGTAAACAGACTGAATTTTTAGTGTTGCTCACAGGATGTTTGTATTTTGGAAATTTTGCATAAATTGTCCTATTTATTTTTGTTTGAGAACTTTTATGAAATTTTTAAGCATCCTTTTGCTGTGGAATTGTAGAAATGTGGATTGCTAAATTTGGGTTCACAGGTATAAACTTCACTAGAGTTATTGGATTCCTCTCACTTTGGAAAGAATAAATATATGATATTGAACATTTATGCTTGCTTCTGTGTTTGTTTTTTTTTGTTGTTTAAATATGTTATTCAGCTTTTCAATAAGAAACTTATAGTATAGTAGAGTTACTCATTAGACAGCAGTGATTGAGAGGCAGGTCATTTTCTGAAGATCGGTACCTCTCTGGAGTGAGTGAAGGTCAGAATTCAGATGGTCATTAATTCTCAGGAACTGAACTTTGTTTGGTATAAAGTATTAATTATCATTAAAGGCAAAAGTGGACAGAAAATCATGCCTGGCTTATCTGAGGTGGGAAAAGCTGCCTAGAACTGGGTTTCTCAAAAGGCCCCTTTGTTTGGTATAAAGTATTAATTATTATAGGCAAAAGTGGACAGAAAATCATCCCTGGCTTAGCTGCCTAGAACTGGGTTTCTCAAAAGGCCCTGACTTCACTGGGGACAGAGTTGTAGCAGTAGAAGAGTTAAAGCTTTGGAATATACCACTGTGAAACTGCCACAAAATTTCAGCAATTCTTAATTATAATTCTTGGTTAACCCTTATGTGGGGAAGGAAAAATGTCATCTTTGTTCTTCCGTGCATAAATCCCATTTATGAGGCTAATGCATGCAGGTCAAGATTTATATCCAAAGGTGTTTTTATTTAATTTTTTCAGTCATGCTACCCTTGTGTTGAATTTCTTGACTAACATAAGGAGGCTTCATCAGTTAGGAGGAAAGAATGTTTTGTCTTCGGTGCTTTAAATGCTACATGCACAGGGAACAGTGCAGAAACATAGTGAAAGGTGGTGGATGACCTGCTCATCTGCTCTTTCTTTTATCAGGCGATTGAAGAACAGCAAAGCATCCACAGATGGCCACCGTTACCTTTTTCGGGGCAGAATAAACACTGAAGTGATGGAGGTGGAGAATGTAGATGATGGAACAGGTGAGTATATTTGTGTTGCTCATTAGCAGGGCAGCCTTTCGAGGTGCTGAAATCAAAGGCAGCTTCGTGATTTCTTAGAGAGTTGGAGGGTGCTGCTTGTACTTAAAAAGAAAAAGATACCACATTAAAAGTGCTCTCTGCTAATATCAAAACTCTGCTTCTGTGATGCATCATTCTTTCATAGATGATGAGGTGGGCGGTCATAGATGAGTGTTATATGCTAACGTGAGCAGAGTAATAAAATAAGGTGAAATTTATTGCTCAACTGAAATTGTGTATTTAACTTCACTGTACAGCATTCCTAAATAGATTATCCCTAGGTATGTGATACATTTGTAAAAACAAATGGAAAAGTTGCCACTGTTGGAATGAAACCTCAAAACACTATAAATGCTGAAATTGTAACATAATATTTAAGGAAAAAAAGAAGGGATTTTTTAAATACCTTTATGGGTATAATCTATATGATTGCTTGAAATTTTCCCAACATATTTTGGGTTTTCACTTTTCTAATGTTTTCCCACAAATTTTTGCTTTAGAAACTTGAGTTTAACCTTTGACCTTAACAATTCTTATTTCTTTACAATTAATAAAGAAAACCTGAAACATTTTTGGCTTTCTAATGTGAAACTAAAAAAAAAAAAAAAAAAATAATGTGGGAAACTTGCAGTGGCATTGCAAATATGTAGGTCTGGAGGAAATTTCTATGAGTTATGTATTACTTCTCCAGATTTTAAAATAGCATTAGGTTTGCCCTACATCTGCTATGGATTCCAAGGATTTCTTAAACTAATTACTTTCTAAAATTGAGCATTAATGACAAGGATTGTACAGCTTAAGTAGGCTTTATGGAAGTTAAATATTTCTTGAAAAATAAGATTATTTTTTTTATAGCCTTGAGTTCCTTGCATTCAAAATAGTTTCCTCACTTCTTGTTCTACTGGGGTACACTTGGAGAACTCTTGGAGTATTATAACAGTATATATAATAGTACTAATTATAATAACAGTTGTTATTATTGCAACAAACTAGTTTATTGGAAAGCTGTCGGGTCTCTCTTCCATCTCTTCTTTTTAAGTCTTTGAACGTTTGCCACAGATTGTGTTTTTTCTAAGTTTTTATGTCCTTTGGAGTTTCAGGGCTTTTTTTCCAGTTTGTTTGCATCTTTTGTATGATGAGGTATCCAGAGCTGAAACTTTGCTGGTGCCAAGTGAAACAGAATAATTACTGTAGTGCTGCATGTGGGATGTCTATTATTAATCCTGGGATATTTGGCTTTTCTGAGAGCCTTTTAGTTGGTGTTCCAGAATACCACACCAAGTCCTTTTGTGCAGTACTGGTGCCTATCCCATTATACTGTGTGAATGTCTGACAGTAGGTCCTAACAATTACTTTCTTCTCTGTACTCAATTTTATTTCACTATTTCCACAATTCATTAAGCATTCAGAATTCGTGTCTTGTTCCCCAAAGCTCTTGCAATGCTTCTTGCCTTGGTTCTATGAACAAACAATGTTATTACTGAGCCATTTAAGCCCCTGATAAAATTATTGGAAAATGCTGAATATAAGGTAGAGCACTGTGGCGTCACACTTCATTCGTTCTCTTTGTTTACTAGACATTTTGTGTAAGAACTCCTTGACATCTGTTTCAGGGTAGGGCCTTCACCTGGCCCACTGATTTAGTTGGTGATTTAGAGATGTCTATGGGTACACTATAGTGAATTTCATCAAGCCTCATTGACTTGAATGTAATTTATCCAATATTCTATATCCAGCTATTTCCCTTTTCTGGCCTGTGTTCCTGCCAGGTTGTTAGCTTTATTTGTATGAAATCTCAATTTATGCAGCTAAGGGAGTTGAGTGTTTCAGTCTTTTACATCAAGTATTATTTGACTACCTTTCATTTATGTTTCTTCATCTTCCTTATATATGCTCCAGAAATATAAGTCAGTTTTCCTGTTTCCATTATGTCACTTTCTAAGACGTCATCTCTCTACAACTCTTGTGGTTACTGTGGCCACATGGACCCACCATCTTCTTCCTGATGAATATTACAATAGTTCTGTAACTTTGCTATAACTTTTTCCTTTCTCGGTTTCCGATCCTACATATTGCCATGCTTTTAGTGTTGGCTTTAGCAAATATTTCTTCCTTCCTCCTTCCCACGACTGTCTTGTATTTCTCAAATCTGTCCTACCTTTCTTCATTTGCTTGTTCCAAGTATCCAGTCCCTGATCTCTTTCTCACTGTCCATTTTCTTTCCTGCCCTTTTGTTTTCTTCCTCAGTGAATCTTCAAGCATAATTTGGCTAAGTTCAAATCGTCTTCCTCTCCCCTCCAGACACCAGTAGCCTAATTTCCTCCAGCTGCAGGAAATTTTGCTGCTGTCCCCATTTCCTATAGCCTTGCACACAGTCCTGGAGGCTGTCGTGCTTCCTTCCCATTTGCTCTCCTGAGCCATATCAAGTATCGTCACTTTTATATACGCAACATTTCTAAAATCTTTCTTCCTTTCCACACTTCTGAGACATCAGTTAATGGCTTGGTTATTTTCATGTCTAGATTATTCTTCCCTGCTTTTTTTCCTATATCCCCACATTTTCCGTCTTCTCCATTTCAGTTTGCCCAATATCCTAATTTTTTTTTTTTTTTTTTTTTTTGCTAATTGCTGCTATTTCATCCCTCTTTTCTATGTTTCTCTTTGAAATATGGAAATGTCTTTGTTATTTCCCTGGTCTGTGGCATGTTTCCACCCTTTTCTTGCCACCCCTTCCCCCCACCACCACCTTTTTTTTATTCCTAAAAAACCTGTTTTTCCTTGTAGTCAGGAGCGTATTCCCTCTCCTCACACTAGTACTTTATCTTTCACTCAGATCGTGATGCCCTTTAACCTTCTGCTGCCTTGGTTTCTGTACTGCTCTCATCTGTTGCACCCAGATGTCTTGTTTCTCATCCCCCGTAGTCATCTGCTTTTGAACTGTAACCTGCTGCCATTCTGCTGGGTTCTCTTTGTCTCATCTCATTCCCAAGTGTAGTAACCGGGTTGTCTGAGCCTCATTCACATCAGCTTTGCGTGTCCTTTTTTGGAATTGTATTATTTTCTTCTTCTTAATCGCCTATTGCCTGTCACTTTCTATAATTCCTAATTTAGAGTGCAGAGGGCTTATGTTTCCATATCTGTGCATGACGTCTTCTCATGAGCTTTTCATGGGTTCCTTTATGGAAGACTTTTGCATCTCGATATTTCTAGTTCTCTGCTGTAGATTTTGGGATCCTCTGTTCACTTGGTGTGAGGAACCACAGTGCTCCAGGGAAAAAGGGTGACTGAGAGTGTTTGCTCTCAGCATCGACAGACGTAGGAATGTAGTCTTCCTTGCTTGTAAGTAGAAGCTTAGAAATAGGAAAGCAGATTCCCAGTGTGGTTTATTGTCATGCTAATGACATGCCTACAGAAATTAACAAAGCTTTTTCTGAAAAGCAATTTTTCTTTGATTAAATTAGGCCTTGGCTGAGCAGTACAGTCGGTGGAAGCTTTATTTTTTGTTTCGGCATTGTGAAGCGCTCTGCCTTTCTTTTTGTTTGCTCTGATTAAAGTGGAATGCATATTACTTATCAGGGCAGACTGTTTGTGTTCGTAAAACAGTGAGGCTACACAACCACTTGCAAATATTAATACATTACCATATTGAGATGGTATTGTTTTTTTCTCTATTCAGTTTTGAGGGAAAAGTATATTTCTAAAGGCATTGACCAGCCATTACATGAATGTTACTTAGTTTATGAAGACAAGCACTTGAAACTTAGGAAATAACAGATTTATGGTTGCTTATACTATCTTAGTTCTGTCCCCTGTTGTCTTGAAATGAGGCATGAAATAGAAAAAACACTACATGATAATAGTAACCCGAGACTGCATCAAAAAATATACAGAAAAGGAAGGCAATTGAGGTTGTGCAGTAATTATTTCCTTGGTGTTTCTGAGGTTTGGTACTCCTAAGAACTTAAAGTCTGTGCAACTTAGAAGTATTTCAGTACAGACAGTTCTGTTTGGTTTTTTAAGGGAAGAAAGAAATTCTGTTTTTCATGGCTATACCAAATTGCTTGTTATGTTCAAAGGTTTGAGTCTTGAATTTTGAATAATATATTACAGTTCAAATTACAAGCTTCAGTGTATTACCAAGTATCATTAGAAGTTGATGTCGTCTTTCATCACCTTTTCTTGGGGAAGTTGGAGGCTTGATGACTTGTTAAGCATGCTTTTTCAGACTTTACATGGAGCAGCTTGAAGTCTCATGCTCTTCTTCTTTCTGTAGCCATTGGGTTAGGTTTGCAAATAATTTCTTTAGCTTGACTGGCAGCTGTGATTGCCTTGATGTGAAGAGTGTGCATGTATCCAGTGTGGCTGGGCAGCCAGACCATACCTACCTCCTGGCTGGCCGACCATCACATCTGCAGCTCTTGACGAGGTTTTGTCCAACAGCCAGTCCAAAAAGGGTATAAGTGTCTATGAGATGATAGTGTAATGCTGGAATGCTCTTCCTGAGGACAGGCTGAGAGAGTCAGGGGTTGTTCAGCCTGGAGAAGAAAAGGCTCTGGGGAGACCTTAGAGCCCCTTCCAGTCCCTAAAGGGGCTCCAGGAGAGATGGGGAGAGACTCTTGATCAGGGAGGGGAGCCATAGGACAAGGGGGAACGGTTTTCAACTGAAAGAGGGGAGATTTAGATTAGATCCTAGAAAGAAATGAAACATTTAAGGATATTGTTTTGGTTTGGAACTTAAAAGTCACTCACTAAGATACAAACGTTTAAGGATATTGTTTTGTTTTGGAACTTAAAAGTCACTCACTAAGATACTAATCGCGTCTTCTCGTATTAAAAGAAGCTTTAGTTCCTTTTAGGTGATGGGTGGGCAATTAGATCTCAGGAAGAAATTCTTTGCTGTTTATTAAAAGAAGCTTTAGTTCCTTTGTAGATGATGGGTGGACAATTACATCTCGGGAAGAAATTCTTTGCTGTGAGGGTGGTGAGAGCCTGGAAGAGGTTGCCCAGAGAAGCTGTGGCTGCCCCATCCCTGGAGGGGTTCAAGGCCAGGCTGGATGGGGCTTGGAGCAACCTGGTCTGGTGGGAGGTGTCCCTGCCCAGGGCAGGGGGTTGGAACTCCCATTCTATGATTCAGGGACCACAGACTGCCCACAGGAGCCCTGGGTGATTGTAGTCATGGGGAACACAGGGAGGAAAAGGGAAATCAGGGGTGTTGCAGTGAGGTTGGAGTCAAGCTGGGCATCAGGGGAATGGGTTACAATTGCAAAACTGGGTGATAGCTACCCATTTTCTTCCACCTGAACTCGTTGCCACCTGTGTATATCAGGCAGTCTTAGCCCCTAGCTAGGTGATTGGGCTTTTCACAGAATTTGGTGAGTTCATAGTGGCATGTGATACATGTGGTCAACAAGCCAGCACACTCAGCCCTGCAGCTGCAGAACTTCAGATGCCAGGGAAGCTGCATGTTTAAAATGTCATCCCTTTGTTGAGATATTCAAGTGGCTGGATGTGGCCATTTTTTTCTGAATTAAGCTACTACGTTGACACCAAATTTCTGTCCAGAGTGAAACGGGAGGATCTAAATCCATTTGTGAGCGTGAGCCATCTTTTTGCAATTTTTTTTTGGCCACAATTTTAATGGCTACAGTTCACTGCATTAGAGAGCATGATATTTCTCTACATAACATGGGTGTTGTGATGATAGATATAGGGTAACAAAGTCCACAGGAGAAATATCACCCCGTAGTTTTATACGTACTAACCTCTAAATAAATAAACAAAAAAGTACAGCTGGTGCCATATTGCAAGTTTTATAGAGTCCACAGGAAAAATACCACCCTGTAGTTTTATACATACTAACCTCTAAATAAATAAACAAAAAGGTACAGCTGGTGCCATATTGCAAGTTTTATAAGTATATACTTAAATAACACCAAGGGACCTAAACCTTCCTTCCTCCAGTAGTGCCCCTGCCTCTGATCTACAAAGGGCTGCAGTCTGTCTGCTGAGAGCTTCTGTCTGAGGATTCTTTCTTTTCCCTGTCTTTTGACTCTGTTTTTCTGACAGTGCATGAATGAGATGATGGCTAGTTTTCAAGTAACAGTGTTTTTAAAGGGGCAAAGGATATTATGCATAGGTTATGTAAATAAAAATATGATAAATAGGTAAAGCGGTACAAATATGATGTTGCAAAAATAACATACTTCGTTTTTTACCCTGTCGTAGACTTGCTTGCACTTTCTTACAGACTTTGAGTATGAGAAAGTTTTGCTGGTTTAGAAATTAGCAGTCGGTCTCATGATTTTCTAGTAGTTCCTGACATTTCCCAGCCAGTACACAAAGCTTGGCTGCTTTCCATCTAATTAAAATGCAGAGTTATTGAAAGGATGCTAGCATGTCTGCTGAGATTTATGATAAATCTTAGCAAGCATTTCAGCAAGGGTTTCTGTTTCGGAAAATCCCATCTCATCATACAAAACAGGGCTGAATTATGAAAAAGTATTTACAAAGTAAAATGCTCTGTAGTTATTACAGTAGTTCAGGATTGGCCCTAGGACTTTCTTGCCTCTTAATGAAAGTTTGTGGTGAGAAAATGTTGACCTTTGATTTTCGTAATATTTTGTGCGGTAGTTTCTAGTTCTAGTTTTAATCAGTGTTTTATGCACAAACATATATTTGTTATCATGAGGCATTTATTCCTGGCAAATTCTCCCCCAGGAAATGCATGTAATCCTAGTGAAGGATATTCAAGGGTGTTAGTTTTGGAGAGGAAGTCTGCTTAGCTGATTTTTGAATAAGATTTAACTAGCAAGTTAAAATCAAATCTTATAAAAGCAAGGAAAGATTAATAAATATTAAATAGTCTGATTTTTTGCAGCATAGTGGTTTACGTGTTAAGAGTCAGAAGTTCAAGATATCTAAGAACATCAGCAATTGTTACCTCTCTCTTATAATGTGCATACTGAACACAGGGTTGCTAGGAATATATTTCAAAAATTATGCATTTGGGTAATGCTGTGGTGTTGTTTTTTTTAAATCAGAGTAAGTCTTGTATCATATTTCAGTTTGTTTAAAAAGGAAGTGTAGATATATCTTTATTCAGGTAACTGATCAGGATATATCAAATGTATATGATTTTCTTGTCAAATGGAAATTGTATTTTTCCCCTGTATACTTTGTCCTTTTTTTAAATTTTGTAGTAAATCATTCAGTCAGCACAGTAGCTCTGAGTAATTTAAGGAGGAAAACCACTGTGCTTGTTTTTTTAAATCAGAGTAAGTCTTGTATCATATTTCAGTTTGTTTAAAAAGGAAGTGTAGATATATCTTTATTCAGGTAACTGATCAGGATATATCAAATGTATATGATTTTCTTGTCAAATGGAAATTGTATTTTTCCCCTGTATACTTTGTCCTTTTTTTAAATTTTGTAGTAAATCATTCAGTCAGCACAGTAGCTCTGAGTAATTTAAGGAGGAAAACCACTGTGCTGCTTTTTGAAGGAATTGTTTATTACAGTTTAATACGAACAAAAGTACTCCAAGTACTAGGATATGTTCTTTTAATAGGATTCTGCCTGTTTTAATGTCAAGTTTATATTTTCTTCCGTATGCTAGGCAATTCTTTGTTACATTTGAAAAAGGACATTATTTACTAAAAGTTAAAAGTAAATCTTATTATGTTATAACGTAGTTCACGAGTGGCACAGATAACTTGAGATTCATTTTTATCCTTCTGTATTTCCCGAGCTTTACGTGTAATGATAAGAGTTCTTAATAATTGTAGCAACTATTACTTTTTTAAGAATTGGTTGTCTCTAAGCCGTTTTATCTCTTCCCAGCTGACTATCACAGCAGCGGCCACACTGTGATTAATGGCTGGAAGATCCACAACACGGCCAAGAACAAATGGTTTGTGTGCATGGCAAAAACCCCCGAAGAGAAGCAAGAATGGCTGGAAGCTATTTTGAAAGAGCGAGAGAGAAGAAAAGGTAGGTTAATAAACTTCCTTGTGTTGCTTTGCCAGAAAGCCATACTGTATTTTTATGTTGAGATATAAAGCAAAACCAGCTGCTCGGCAAACTTACGGTGTCAGGTTCAGCTGAAGGTTTATGAATACCAGCTTGTAAAAAATAAATCATACTTGTACTGGGAAGGGGCATAATGTCTTGAATCATGTGTGCTGGTAGTGAACACTGTTTTGGAAACGGGGAGATGATTTAATCTATGATTTTACAGCTTATCCTCAACCAGTATAAATTGTCATAATTTCATTGAGGCCTGTGTGCTATTACGGTTTGTGATATATGAGGTTCTGCTCTAAGTACCTTGTAGGATTTGTATGCGTTGATTCCCTTTTGTGACTGGCCATTTGAGTTACTGAAATGAGCATGTTTTCTGTGTTGGATCTTCATGCAGATGATCCAACATGAAATGGCACAGAATATACCTTCAGCCCCATTTCTCATGTATTGTCCTCTACCCAAGAAAGTAAGAAATCACCACTGGCAAACCTCTATCTTTTTGAATAACTGAATTAAGATGGAATTGGATGAAATATAATCCTGGTCTCAAATGTGACCACGAATAACCTCATGTATTCAAGGTGAACCCAGCACAAAGTAGAACCAGGGAAAGATGACGCATCATCATCTTCTGGAGCTAATTTCATTTGCAAGCTAAAATATCCTAATCAGTAACGATGTTTGGAGCCTTGGTATTGAAAGAAAATATGACCTTGTAGTTAGATCTGGGATTCTTCTCCTGGTCTGTGTAGATTTTCTGTTGCTTGTTGCAGTAGCCTTTGTTTTATGCTGCCATTGTAAATGGACGCTAACAATACTTTCTTTGTTTTTTTAAAGTTGGATACTGGATATTTGCAGAACATCTGCTGTAGGGCCAGAGTAGGGTGTCTGACCACTGGCTAATTAATAGTACTATCAGGAATTGTTAGTAGAAGAGCTAAAAAAATGCCTTAGAAGTCTAAAATCTCAACATTTTAAATTAACAAATGAAAAATCAATGTGGTGGGGATGGTGTCAAACAAAAACCTTTGTACTTTTTCTTCTGTATCTGAAAATGGCTAAAAGATTTTTAACAAATCCCACTTCACTGTTGTTAAGTTTCTTGGCTACTTTAGACTTTTGATACCTTTAGGTAAGAAATGAAAGAGTATTTCATGTTGATGTATTCTTACTATATCACATCATGCTATTGTGCAGCTGGTAGTACAGGGTAGAGGTGAGCTAAACCTTGCCAAGCTTCTGGTCTGAGGTAGACCCTTCCCAAAGTCAAACCATGTTCTAGGATTTCAACATTCTATGATTTGGGGAACTTATCAACTCCTGGTGGGTTTTGCCACCGAGGAGACAACCATGAAAGAAAGAGGAAGAGGACAGAGCAGGAGAGGATTTGGTACGCACTTAGACTCACTTTGCAACACAGGATCTTCAAAAGTATTTTTTTTAATATCTCCATTAGTCTATTAACTAAAAAATTTATCCATCTTCTCCAGGACAGTGATTTTTTTTTTTTTTTTTTTTCTTCAAAATATCTGTATAAACACCTCTTACGAAGCAGGATGCGTCAACTTAATTGCAGGCAGGTTGCCAAATGACTTGGGAACCAAACAACTACGTTTTTAGAATTCAAATACTGTATCTAAACGTAGCTATAAACACTCTCTCATTCACTGTGAATATAAAGAGGCTTTAATTGTATGTTTACTTAGTAAGACATGGAGCCTGTTCATACATATATATCTATAGGCAATTACAGTGACGTCTGAGTTACAGCACATGTGAGAGCAGTGTTTTATGTCTTTTGCAAATCTGAGACTGACTAAATCAAATTAAACGCACTTGTCAGATCTCTTGGGCTCATCTGAGTGACTCTGTCTTCATTGTGCTTTGTATGCCCATGTGTTTCTTCGTAGTGGTCCACATCTCACGTAGAAAGGCAGATGGCAAGGATCTCCAGCCTAGATAAATACAGCGTATAGAGCCTTCTCTTCTCCAGGCTGAACAACCCCAGCTCTCTCAGCCTGTCCTCATTGCAGAGGTGCCCCAGCCCCCTGACCATCTTTGTGGCCCTCCTCTGGACGTGTTCCAACAGGTCCATGTTCTTATGTTGGAGTCCCCAGAGCTGGACGCAGTACTCCAGGTGGGATCCCACCAGAGCAGAGCAGAGGGGCAGAGGCACCTCCCTTACCTTGCTGGCCAGGCTTCTTTTGCTGCAGCCCAGGATGCAGTTGGCTTTCTGGGCTGCCAGCCTGCTTTGCCAGCTCATGATGACCCTGCTGGCCAGGCTTTTTTTGCTGCAGCCCAGGATGCAGTTGGCTTTCTGGGCTGCCAGCCTGCTTTGCCAGCTCATGATGAGCTTTTCATCCACCAACACCTCCAAGTCCTTCTCCTTAGAGCTGCTCTCAATCCATTTTTTGCCCAGTTTGTATTTGTGCCTGGGATTGCCAGCTTTGCCAGCTCGTGATGAACTTCTCATCCACCAATACCTCCAAGTCCTCCTCCTTAGAGCTGCTCTCAATCCATTCTTCGTCCACCTTGTATTTGTCCCTGGGGTTGCCATGACCCAGGTGCAGGGCCTTGCGCTTGGCCTAGAGCTGCTCTCAATCCATTTTTTGCCCAGTTTGTATTTGTGCCTGGGATTGCCATGACCCAGGTGCAGGACTTTGTGCTTGGCCTGGTTGAACTTCATGAGCTTCATTCCAAAAATAGTATATTGGTTTTCTTTTCCCGGGAATACCTCAAGTTTTATCTGTGTTTTTGGCATCATCACTAGTGCTTGGCCTGGTTGAACTTCATGGGCTTCGTTCCAAAAATAGTATATTGATTTTCTTTTCCCGGGAATACCTCAGGTTTTATCTGTGTTTTTGGCATCATCACTAGCTGGCTTATGGATAATGAGAGACACTTCTGTATCTGTGTCCAGTACCATTGTTAGCTTTTTCTCATGACAGGTTTTTCCGACTATATTTTCAGAATTAAAGAAGTGTGAGACTATTACTCAGATTGAATATGTACAGTTATAGTTTAAAAAAATGTTAAAATCCGAACAGCAACTGAGAACATGTACACAAGCCTTTCCAAAAATGTGTGGTCTTGTCCAGAATTAGTAATTGTTTATTGAGAAAGCACATGGGATATGAAGGTCTATAGTATTCCTTCGTTGCCAAGCTTCTGTAAGTGGCCAGTAGGATGCATAATTCAACAAAAAACTGGTTTTGATCAGAAAACGTAATGATTTTCGCAAGAAGACAAGCAGTTAAAAAAATAAAACAGTGAAACAAGTTGTGTATATGCTTTTGTGGAAAGCATAATCACTTAATCTTATGTGATACTAACAAACGTATAACAGACTAGTAGGTACTATTACTTGGAAATTTGGAAAAGTTTCTTTTAAATGAAAACATTTTTATTATCCCATGGTAAGAGCAAAAACAAGGCCTTTTTAAACTTGGGAAGACATGACTGCTCCCTTGCAAATGGTCATATACTGAAGTCTGAAAATCACAGCATTTGAATTTATTGCTACAATATCAATGGTGATGTCAATATAGTAACAGTTTAACTTCACTATGAGAACTTAAAGATACCATTTGATTATGCTTTATGGAGATCAGATGTTTGTGGTTTAAACTGATTGTGAGAAAAATAATGGAAAGCAGTTCCTTTACTTTTTTTCTTTGTATGTAAAATATTGGTATCGCTTCTCCGTTCGGGGGAAGATACTGAAATATAACAGCAATATCACTTCATAAAATTGTAATGCATTTTTGGCAGGTTTAAAGTTGGGCATGGAGCAGGACACTTGGGTGATGATCTCTGAGCAAGGAGAAAGACTGTACAAAATGATGTGCAAACAAGGGAATCTCATCAAAGACCGGAAGAGGAAATTAACGACTTTCCCCAAATGCTTTCTTGGAAGGTATTATATGCATTTTATAGCATGAATTTTAATCAGCTAAAACCACATTTAAAATCTTATGATCTGCAGAAACCAGGCTTTATTTGTAATGTCTGTTAGGCCTATTTACTTCCCAGAATGTAGCCAAAATGTAAATTGGTCTGTGTGAAATTTATGGATGTGCACTCATATTCCGAAGCAGCTTTATTAAAGGGACAAGGCTGCACAGGCAGGCTGAAAACGTGAAAATGCATCAAATAAAGTAGTTTCTTTAGAGAAATAATTCTCAACTTGTTTAATACATTTTATCTCTACCTTGGAAGTAACAGGGGTACTATTCTGTCATACGGTGATTTATGGCAGGTACAGTAGCTATGCCTGGGATTGCCTTATATCTGACCGTCTGGTCAAATGTGGCCATGCTAGTTTGGGAAATGCCAGAAAACATGGATAGTCTTCACCATGTGCAAGGTAAACTTGATGCAGGTAAAACTTCTGAGCAGAAAAGAGAAGATACCTCAAGGGAAACCATATGTTTTTATGTCAAAATAAGAAAAAGATGGAAATGAGTGGGTTTTTAAAAGACATTCTGAAGACCGTTAGGCTTAAGAGTTGCATACTAGGTTAGTAAGAAACAGGTAACTGAAAAGGAAATGCAGTATATCTGATGGTATGACATTTAAAGTTTGTATTTTGTATCTGTTTTTATTTCAGTGAATTTGTGTCCTGGCTGCTGGAAATTGGAGAGATACACAAATCTGAAGAAGGTGTTCATCTTGGGCAAGCTTTATTAGAGAATGGCATTATCCATCACGGTAATTATAATTAGTTTTAACGTACTTCTTTTCAAGGTAATTGTTGTAATTAGAGTGGACTTAATTTTGTTTGACAAAAAGATGGTCTCGTTAACGCAAGAGAGCTTGTTGAATCTGCATTATATCCTTGCAGGGACCTCGTGGGGCCATTGACCATGCCTAGCAGATTTACTGGGAGGGGCTCCATTGATTTAATCAGATTACGTCTACTCTGTTGGGGTCCCAACATTGCAAACAGGGACCTAGAGAAACATTGCTATTCTTATGCAAGCAAGAATAAATTCTGGCAGAACAGGGAAGGGTAGACTGTTTTTAAGGATTTAAGCCAAATTGGGTGGGAGTGTTGATCTGCTGGAGGGTAGAGAGGCTCTGCAGAGGGATCTCGACAGGCTGGATGGATGGGCTGAGACCAACGGGATGAGGTTCAATAAGGCCAAGTGCCAGGTCCTGCACTTCGGTCACACCAACCCCCTGCAGCGCTACAGGCTGGGGGCAGAGTGGCTGGAGCTGCCTGGCAGAAAAGGACCTGGTGGTGTTGGTCGACTGTCGGCTGAACATGAGCCAGCAGTGTGCCCAGGGGGCCAAGAAGGCCAACAGCATCCTGGCCTGTATCAGGAACAGTGTGGCGAGTAGGGCCCGAGAAGTGATCATCCCCCTGTACTTGGCACTGGTGAGACCCCACCTCGAGTACTGTGTCCAGTTTTGGGCCCCCCACCACAAGAGGGACATTGAGGTGCTGGAGCAGGTCCAGAGAAGGGCAACGAAGCTGGTGAGGGGTCTGGAGCACAAGTCTTACGAGGAGAGGCTGAGGGAGCTGGGGTTGTTCAGTCTGGGGAAGAGGAGACTGAGGGGTTGACAAAAAGATGGTCTCGTTAACGCAAGAGAGCTTGTTGAATCTGCATTATATCCTTGCAGGGACCTCGTGGGGCCATTGACCATGCCTAGCAGATTTACTGGGAGGGGCTCCATTGATTCAATCAGATTATGTCTACTCTGTTGGGGTCCCAACATGGCAAACAGGGACCTGGAGAAACATTGCTATTCTCTTGCAAGCAAAAATAAATTCTGGCAGAACAGGGAAGGCTAGACTGTTTTTAAGGATTTAAGCCTTCTATTAAGGCCAGCCTTTTTAGGGATACACGGTCAACTAAGAATTGTAGAAGGGAGTGAATCACAGCTGGCTGGCCAGCCTTTTTAGGGATACACGTTCAACTAAGATTGTAGAAGGGAGTGAATCACAGCTGGCTGTTGAGAAATGTGCCTGTTCATCTGTTGAGTATTACAAGTGGAAGTGGTGGAATCCAACAGTTTAATCTTTTGAATTTTAAGGCCTTCTTTTCAATAGATTGTATAGTTAATGAAATTCATATTTTTATCTTAAATTTTCAGTCAACTATCTGTGTTTAGCTCATTCTGGAGAGAAGCGTTATTTGAAATGGTTCTGGTTTTGAGCTGATATGGAGGTTTGATTTCTGGAGATGATTTGTATTGGCAACATTTTTCTCTTACTAGAGCCGTGTCCTCATCTCTGTCCCTTTTACAAGGTACAGTCTAACAGGACCATATAAGTGAACTGGAGAAACTTCTGTTTTTGAAGTCATGCTTGGCTCACACTTAAAAAAGTTTGGTCACTTAAAAAAACCAAATAATGAAACAGTTGGGAAGTTAGCTACAGTTCCAGCATAGATCCAGGGTGTAAATTTAGGTGAAATCATTGATGATACACATCTTAATACTTCTATACTTCAGCCAGCAATGAATTTAATGCTTACTTTTTCTTTGCCATGAAGTTTTCAGTGTCCTTGACTGGAAAGAGGGCGGGAGTGACAGAGTGCCACTTAGCTGTGTGTGTTTTAAACATATGCAGAGTAGGAGGAGAAACATTAAGGTTATTCATCAGTAGTCATGTAGTCTTTAATTCTTTAATGTCAGTCTACATGATTTTCCTCCACCATCATTCAAGTGTCAGATGCTATTATGTTTACTACACACACAGAATTGTTTTCAATTGAATGATTCTGTTGCCAGAGATTCTTCTCCTGATCTTGTAATTTATATCCCAAATAGACTCATAGACTTTCTCAATACAGAGTTAAATGAATATTGTGCAATTTCATGAGATAAAAGGGTAATTATATTAAAGCATATAAATGTGAGCCAGACATGCTACTTTGAATAGCGGATCCAGCTGCGGTTCAATGAAAATAGAATTCTTAAAATAAAGTTGAATGAACCATCTGTTTTCACAGAGGGAGCAATGGGAGAAAGAAAGTTTGGCTGCTATTCACATTGCAAATGTTGTGGAGGGCTTTGTTAGACTCTGCATATTCACTGTGCTGGGCTTCATTCTAGCAATGCCAGACCCATGTTGTGATGGGCTTTGTTTTCCTTCCTGGTGTGTGACCTCTTGCGAATAGAAAAGTTATGGTTTTTCCTTGTTTGTTTAGGTTTTTTCTGCAGTTTTGCAAAAAGGAAAAATCTGTTGTATGTCTTACTATTTTAAATCCACCTGGTGGCATTCTCTAATATCTGAAATGACCTATACCAGCCTGTGGGCTGAGATACTTTGTCAAGTCCCCTTGTGGCTCATGATTAGAGGTGGAAGCTTCCTCTCAAGGCAGTAAGGAGCTTTGTAGTTACAAAAATAATCCGAATATCAGATAGTTTTAGAATTTAAAGGAAATTAAAAATAAATGTGGCTGTGCAGTTTCCTGGGATGATATGCTGATATGAGTCAACATTACTGTGGCAAAAAAAGTAAAGACCAGTTTTTAAACCTGGATCGCTTCCCTTTTCTTAGTGTGTGGCATATAAATACCCATCCCAACACAAAGTATAGGTACATTGTTGAGAGTGACATACAAAACAACTTGGCATTCCTTATTTTGGCAGTAATGCAGCATTTTAGAAGCTTTAAGTGTTTGAAACTATGGATAGCTGATTCAAGTTCGGGAGACCTTAGAGCCCCTTCCAGTCACTGAAGGGGCTCCAGGAGAGATGGGGAGAGACTCTGGATCAGGGAGGGGAGCCATAGGACAAGGGGTAACAGTTTTAAACTGAAAGAGGGGATATTTAGATGAGATCTCAGGAAGAAATTCTTTGCTGTGAGGGTGGTAAGACACTGGAAGTGGTTGCCCCGAGAAGCTGTGGCTGCCCCATCCCTGGAGGGGTTCAAGGCCAGGCTGGATGGGGCTTGGAGCAACCTGGTCTGGTGGGAGGTGTCCCTGCCCAGGGCAGGGGGTGGGAACTGGATGATCTCTAAGGTCCCTTCCAACCCAAACCATTCTATGATTCTGGTTAAAAGGAAAGCTAAATGTTTTCATCATTTTTTCAGGGTTTCCCTGTTATTACAGTAGCTGACAGACCTTCTACCCTTCCTCTTGAAGAGAAAAGCCAAATCATGTCTGTATCATAGAAGATAACCCTCTCAAAAATGCAGTGGTTTACAGCTTCCTTCACAGTGTGCCCTGGATATATTGGTGGTATTTTACCCAGTGTTGTACTAGGGAGCATCTTTGTCTGGTTTCCTTGCTCTCCAGAGCTCAGGATGTGCCCTCTCTGCTCCCCTGGTTCCTGCTGCACTGTGTCTAAGTAGGGGCTGCAAAGACAGAGCCACCATTTGCGTTCCTCATGGGGGAGAGCCTGCTCTGTTCATCATGGGCACGCAAGGGTGGAAAGTTTTTTTTGTAGTCCTGGTTCCCTTCCTGGTGATTTTAAAACCTCTTAATGTGTGCTGAGCTAATGTAATATATTTTTTTCTCTAGCAGTAGGAAATTATTTTTAATTACAGACCTAGAAGCCGTCTTTTTTTTTCTGCGTTAAATGGTCCCAATCGATTAAAATTCATTTAGATAGTTATACCAGGCATTGTATGTGAAAATTTTGTAGTCTGTATTTGATGTATTGAGAAGCAATGATACGTAAAATTGCTTAGGGGTTATTTTGGATCATCACCTCAGTGTGAACCATCAGTTGAAGGAAATTGGAATAGTGTCCTGGGCTTTCCTATCAATAGGTATATCAAATACAGGCATAGAAGTTATTTTGCATTTGCACATGACACTGGTAAAACCACTTTATATGTAAAGTCCTGTTTTTATATCCATGTATCAAATGTGTGGAGGGATTGAAGAGCTTGAAGGGGCATGAAAAATGATGCAAACAGAAGGTACCGCACTACACAAAGTTTATGGTGCCTCTACTAATTTTTTTTAGGAGACTAAGGGATGATGGTTTAATCACTTGGTGTAGGAAGGCATGCATCAAAGAATTACCTAGCACTGTCAGATCTCTTACTTTGATTAATGAAGACATTACAGTAGCTTCCTTTATCAGTTGATGACATGCAAATTTAAGTGCAAAATTAAAGCTTACATCTGCAAGCAAAACAGTAATTAATACCAGACGGTTATCCTAGGATGGTCCTCAGCCATCAAATGAATCAGCATTTTTTCAGAAAGACTTGCTCTAGTACCGCTTCCAGAAGAAGTTTTCTATCATATGTTTTGTATCATATGATACTCCGTTTCGACAAAACACTTGAAGTTGTGAGTTTGTTGTTGGAATCTTGTAAAACGCTGGAAATCCACGTTAAGATCCTTTTTCACGGGTCTTTGGGGAAATGATTGTCAACACCTTCGGGATGATTGCAAGTCTTTGGCACTGAAGACCTTCAGTTAGCTATCTAAAGAGGAAGGTGTTCCCTCTCCCTTTGCTCCCAGGTGCGAGACTGGTCAGATGCGTTTTAGAGGGTTCCTGTCTTTGTTGACTCATCTGAGGTTGACCTCTTTGAATTGGAACAGAGAATAATGTGAAACAATAGCATGAAAGTTGCAAAAGAAGCTTTACTTGGCTATTGGGTCAATAAGCTTTGCAAAAAGATAACAGATTTGAGTTGCCGAATATTTCAAGCTGTGTGTCTGTCTTACTCTTTGCCCTTTGACTTCAATTTTTTTTGGTTTCTTCTGGTCTGCTTAAAAGTAGTGAGAAATATTGTCACCAGTGACATAAAGGCACTTAGGGCAAGTGATTTAATTGGGCTTCCTGCCTTCCCTGTCTGAAATCTACCTATTGCTGTGTAATGGATTGTTACTAGAAGAAATGATGGTGAACCTCTTCTCTCTTGTTGATTTCTTCAGAAAGTCACGTAACACTGCATGACTTTTTTTTTTTTTTTTAATTTAATTTAGTTACGGATAAGCACCAATTCAAACCAGAGCACATGCTATACAGATTCCGATACGATGATGGAACGTACTACCCCAGAAATGAGATGCAGGATGTGATCTCTAAGGTACAGAATAGAATAGTTGCTATTACTAGGAAGAACACATCCGAAATGGAGGTTCTGCTTGAAATATAAAGTAAAATATTCTGCTAGGATAAATAACATCCCCATACACTTGCCTGTCTCTATGTGAATTAAATTCAGTTTTCTATGTGTAAGGGAATATTTTGGCTTGTTGTTACACATTTTAAATACAAAATTAAAGTTTTTTATTTTTTAGTTATTTTTGTATTTAATGGTTTCATATGCCTGATGCCATACCTGTGTTTCTGGGTGATTCTGAAGCTGGTGTTTCAATCTACTGTATTTTTCAGTCCATTTTAATGTGTATGAAGCTATACATAGAAAATTGTTTTTAATTTTCTCTGAAATCTGAGTGTCTTCTATTAGTGCCTTAACAAGGCAGTAAATCTGCAGTCACAAAGGTGTTTAGATGCAGATAGTGCTATCCGTCTACACTACTGAGCGTTAACAAAATGATTGAACGATGTCGCCTTTAAAATCATTAATATTCAAACTTCTCGTGATTTTGAGGCAGCAGAAAATGTCAGCATTTCCGTATTACATTACCGTGTTATTCACTTTTCTGCTGGCATTTGTTAATGTAAGGTATATCTAGAAAAATCTTCAATACTGAACTGCTAGGCACAGCAAAGTAGGATGGAATCTAATTTGACGCAGCTTTTAATTGTTGTACATGGTTCTTCTTGCATGTTATAAACATAATTGTTTTTTGATCGTCTGCTAAGGAATACTAATGTGATTTCTGTTTTCAAATAACATTTTCTGATGGTAGTTTCTTAAACTTCTCCAAAATTTTTATTTTTTGTTTTTAATTAAAAGTGTTTCCAATCTTTGAATCATTCTGCATTTTTTTTTTTGAGTTTGTTGCTTATAATTTTACTTTTTAAGCAAAATATCGATGCGTATAATCAAATGTAGTTTTTTATCCTTTAATTACTCACTTTGTATGTAGAACAGCAAGCAGTGGTTGGGAAAACCTTAATGCCTGGAAACATTGCTTTGCCTCTCAGGTTTTGTGTACTTTTTCAAGGTATTATACCTTCAAATTTTTTAACGCTACGTTACAGCTAATCCTATTTCATCTCTCTCAGTGAAGCTTAGATTGGAAATGTTTTCTTTCTCATAATTCATTAATCGACGTTGTTATCTGGAAATACTAAGTTTTGACACTTGAAAATGTATAGGAATTTGAACAGAATTTTTTACTGTCTAAATGAAGTGTGTTTAGAAGGTGTAGGCTTCCTTACTGCATCTGTTCCTCTTATCTTCTCTGTGGTGCGACGCTGTGTTTAACTAATCCCATCTTTCTCTTTAACAGGGTGTGCGACTCTACTGTCGCCTTCACAGTCTGTTTACCCCAGTAATTAGGTGAGTCCAATGGAGAAATCCTTCGAGAGTCAGTCAGAAGAAGTGTATAATCTGAAGATGCTGTGTTAGGATGTAGGAACCCAACCCATCCTTTCAGGATTGGTCTCTTGGGAGTCATCAAACAAGATTGAAGGGCCATCAAGACAAAAAGCGTAACTGAATCATTAACTGACTGCAAACTCCATTCAATATGAACTTTTTTTACAGACAGGTCCTGATGGATATGTTTATATGCTGACTATATATATGAATACACTCCTTTACTAACACTCTATTACCTCCTTTGGAGAGTCCCAGCTGTAACAACACAACTGCCTTGTCACTGCTCAGTGACATTATTGCCCAAGCGAGATATGGTCAGCCTCCCATTTTCTTTCTACACGGAGAGGTTTGACTTGCTTTTTTACTCCAGAGTCCACTATAAAATGCTCAATTCATGTTTGCACTAACTTGTCTGTGAAATACAAGGTGGTGGGGTTTTTTGTGGTTTTGTTGGTTTTTTGTTTTTTTCTGTTAGGCTCTTTTGAGCTTTTGTTGGATTATTTTTAAATCGCTTTTGGTTTTTTTTCTTTTTTTCTGTTAGGCTCTCTTGAGCTTTTGTTGGATTATTTTTAAATCGCTTCGGTTTGTTTTGAACAGGGACAAAGATTATCACTTGAGAACCTACAAATCTGTGGTCATGGCTAACAAACTCATAGACTGGTTGATTGCACAGGCAAGTATACACCTTTGCATTTGTGTACATTTTGCATTTAAAATCCAATTTGAAAGGTAGTGATTATTTGAGAGGTAGTGATTCTGCTTAATAAAGCAGAATAACATGTAGGCATTTTGTGTAAGGGTTATTAGAACAGCGTGTGTAAGTGTAATCCTCTTAAACAGTGAAGTAACAGAAATCAGCTGTCAGCAGCCACGCTGTTCATCCCTTTTGTGCTTATCTTCCTTATTTGCCATTGAACTTTAAGTGTTTTAATGAGACTTAGCTTTGTGATTCAGCATGTAACATTGTTCATGGCTTAAAATGAAATGGATAGGCTCTGAAAAACTAAATTACTAACTAGGTGGATAAAAGTCAGTACCAATTTGCTTTTATCAGTTCTGTTTTAAGTGAACTTGGAACAAGAACAGAGTAACCTGTTCACTCGGTCAACATGCACCACTTTTATAAAATAAAAGTTAAAATCTTTGACACTTTTAGATTCTATTGCATACAATTTTTATGGAGAATATAGTGTTACTCAAATTTTTACATAGTTATTTGTAACTCTAAAGAGGTAAACCATATAAAGGACCAAAATTTTTAGTTATTTGTAACTCTAAAGAGGTAAACCATATAAAGGACCCTTCCAACGCAAACTTTTCTATGATCCTATGAAAATATGTATATACTCTTTTGTATGTATGCTATAAATGTCTATATAAAGGTGGCACTGGTAAATATAATCCACAACCATTGCCAGCCCTATGAGGCTACGCCATTGTGTGTAGAATTCATTTTGCTGCTATATTAAAAATATATTTAAAAAAAAACCAACATGCTATGGTTCAACAGGGGGATTGCCGGACGAGGGAGGAAGCAATGATATTCGGTGTAGCTCTTTGTGATAACGGGTTCATGCACCATGGTAAGTAAATACATTCTGTACAAGCTACGCTTACCTTTTGTTTAATGCTATCTGCATAGTTGGAAGGAAATGGAGGGACTGGTAAAGATATTAGAGAAGGGATATGAAGTTGTTTCACTGAATCACTGAAGAAACCTATGCTGCAGTCTTCAAGATAAAAAAGTACCTTTTATATACTCTGAAAATTATTTTCAGTCAATTTTATAGCATATCCTCTAAAGGATCAGGGTGGGGGGCAGTTTTATTAGCTGCTTTGCAATAAATTTCTTAAGCGTGTAATACATGTTTGCACAGATGAGATGATAAATGTTTAGGAAATGCATAGGAAAGAAAAGAGGCATTTCTGGATGACTGAATAAAGTATGGAGGAATAGGGCTTAAAAAGAGTGAAGTGGAGACAATTGGAGAAACTGGACTGTAAAAAAATGAGAAAATCCTAAGGACAGCAGTGAAGAAAGAAGGGAGAGGAGAGCAGAGAGATGTGCAGTACCAAAAATGAGGTGAACCAGGTCACATTTAATACCATCAGAGGGAAGATTTCAGTGAAAGGATTGAAGCAGCAGGTCATTTACTGAAATAAAAAGAGGAAGAAATGATTTTCTCATCAGCTTGTTTGGAGAAAGAGGGAGGAAATTCACTTCCTTTCTGGCACTGCTCATTCCTTTTTTCTTTGACTTTTAAACATACAAACTGCATCCATCTGCTGTTCTGGTTGCTTCCACATCCCCACCAAACCCGTTTCTAATACTGAACCTGGCATCCTTCACCACCAGGAGAGTGCCAGAACTTGGTGGTGAGCATCTCCAGCATGACTTTTAAAAATCTGGGTTTTAAATCATTTTCAGGAAAAGCGTTGTGCTTGATGTTTTCACTAAAGCCATTTCAGGCTGATGTGTATTCCTCAGCTTGGTAGAATCCAGATGCTGCAGTTGAAAAGGAGCTTAGTGATACCTATCTGTAATGGCTCCACATAAAAATCACGTTTATGTTAAAAATTAAGATTCACACACACAAATAGTTTGGTAGCATTTAATATGCGTACACATGTTCGGTATTTTGTGTTGCATGGGAGACATGATATTGAAAAGTTTAAAAGAAAAGGAGGATTAATATGTGTGGTTTTGTATCATACAGTGTTAGAGAAAAGCGAATTTAAAGATGAACCGCTGCTGTTCCGTTTTTATGCGGATGAAGAAATGGAAGGGTCAAATATGAAGCACAGGCTCATGAAACACGATCTGAAGGTAGTGGAAAATGTCATAGCCAAGTCATTACTGGTGAGTGAAGCCCAATGACTGTATGCTTTAATGAGTAAAAAACCTGGTTGTAGCAACAATAAATAAGCCCTGTATATTTTTATTTAATAGTGATACCCTTTAGCTCTTCTTAATGCCTTTCTGAACACTATTTTGAACAATTTTATTTTTCAGATCAAATCTAATGAAGGCACCTATGGTTTTGGTTTAGAAGATAAAAACAAGGTGCCAATTATTAAAGTGGTGGAGAAAGGATCAAATGCTGAGGTATCAAGTATTATAAATTATCATCTTACCTGTTTTATTCACTTGATCACAGGTCTGTGTTTTGTACATCAGTTAGGAATATCTATAGTAGTAGAAGGTAACAATGACAACTTTCCAAGAAAGCTGTGGTTATCAACCTTTTTTTCCCCTTTTTTTCCTTTGGTTTTGGTTGGCGTTTTTTTTTTTTTTTTTTGTTTAAAATATTTAACTGAGCGTTATCAACACTCATTTTTTGCTCAGAAAAATTGTACTGTTGAGTGTTGATATAAGTCATCATTTTATTTTTATACAGTTTGTAATATTCCAGTGATGACGTTAATCATGAGTGGAATAAACTTTTTTTGCTAGAATATGAAATGAGTATAGAGCTAGTCTGAGAGTCGCACTTGATATATTTCATAATAAAGAATATATCAAGTTTTGGACAAAGTCTAGAATTTGAGAATCTGAATGAATAAATTGCAGCCTTTCTGTTACTTAGTATTGCTTTAGACGCTCCTTCAGTAAATTCATATTCTACTGAACTGTGTGCGAGTGTCTGTACATGTAAAGATAAAGAATGAGACTCTTCCATGAGTGAAAAGATTTAAACCTACATTTCAAGCCTTTCTATACCTCATGGTGGAATAGAAATTTAGGATGAAAATAGATGGATAATATAATATAATATAATACAGCCACAGAGGAGTCTCTGGGGTGATTTGTAGCAGGCAGATTCTGCCATGATCTCGGATGGTGCTAAGGCTTGGCCTGTGCCCTGAAGGGCTCTGAGTGCTCCCATCATCCAAGTGGTTACGGTTCCTTTCTTCTTAGACCTGAGTTTAAAAACTGTAATTGGGCTTGCTGTACCAGTGTCTCAAAAGCCATGAAATGTTTAAGGATATTGTTTTGCTTTGGAACTTACAAATAGTCACTTACTAAAATATTAATTGGGTCTTTTCTTATGAAAAGAAACTTTGGTTCCTTTGCAGGGTGATGGATGGACAATTAGATACTAGAAAGAAATTCTTTGCTGTTAGTCACTTACTAAAAATTGGGTGATTTGGGTGAGATCTTAGGAAGAAATTCTTTGGTGTGAGGGTGGTGAGACACTGAAAGAGGTTGCCCAGAGAAGCTGTGGCTGCCCCATCCCTGGAGGGGTTCCAGGCCAGGCTGGATGGGGCTTGGAGCAACCTGGTGGGGTGGGAGGTGTCCCTGCCCAGGGCAGGGGGTTTGGAACTAGATGATCTTTAGGTCCCTTTCAAGTCTAACCATTCTATGATTCTATGAAATTGGGTAACAACATAAAAAAAATAGTCTGGCTCAATGAAGGCTGTTGTGTTAATTATTACAAATATTACCTGACGTTGTAATACTGTCATAAAATCTTCATTAAGACTAGGTCTTGTATTTAGATTTCTTCAGAATGAGTGTTTACTGTACCCTCCACATCAGTTTAACCAGTCCTAGAAGCATATTGTGTTGGAGGCCTTTTGTGCGTGGTATGTGAAGGAGGCATAAAGAATGTAAAGGAAATGTGCATGTAATTATTCCTATCGGGGTTGCATGCCAGCGGAAGAAAACATAATGTTGGTGGTTATAAAAGGCAAACATACACACCAACTGTTATTGTTTTCTAGATGGCAGGCCTGGAAGTTGGGAAAAAGATCTTTGCCATTAACGGTGACCTGGTTTTTCTGCGCCCCTTCAGTGAAGTGGATTGCTTCCTGAGAGCATGTTTAAACAGCAGAAAGCCCCTGCGGGTGCTTGTGAGCACCAAACCACGGGAGTAAGTTGTCATTCCTTTGGGGGGGATTTTTACAGACTGCGACCGAAGAGAATTTTAAGAGACCGGTGGAACTTCAGAGAGCGCTGCTGTAGAGTTATTTTAAATGCTTTATCTAATCTGACTTCGTAAAGTTCAAGCAGTTTGATCTGCTTTGATTTTGTTTTATTACATGTTTGATTTTGTTTTGTTGATTTTGTTTTATTATTTTGTCCATCAGCAAAAGCAGAAAGGCGAGCGTTTTAGATCATCAACTCTGCTGCTCCAAATACATGCAGGAACCTCAAGTCTAAATGAAGTTTCCTTGACTATATGTGGGGTAGTTTTGATCACTTATCTCTCACTGTGTTTATTAAACAAGTTCCTCTGTCTGGGGGTTAGTTGCTGGTTTGGACTCCGTGATCTAATGGGACTCTTCAGCGTATGTGCTGGTTTGTGTAAACAGCAGGAGCAAGCAAACAGCTCCCCATCTTTTTATGAGACACGCATTTCTGTACACAGTTTTGACCATTCCTACCTGAATTTCTGTTAGGTAAACGAAATGCAAAGTTGAGGCCCAATGGCTGGGTTCAGAAAGTATGTAAACGAGCAGAGGTCTGTTAATAAAATCAATGCAGTTGTTACTGGTTTGTACATACCAAAGGAAGAGGAGATTCAGAAACAGTGGCCAGGAGTGATTTTGATCAAATTTTGCAGGGTAAGGAGGGACCATCCTCTGTCACTGGGCAGTGCACACAGAGGGCCTTGGAAATGGCTCTGGTTGAGGTGGTAGATGGGAGATGTTAATAAGGATAGGTGTGTTGAGAAATGCAATGGCATCCAGGAAGGGGAAAAGAGCAAGTAAAGAAATATGGCAGAAAGATGATCATCTCATCTGAGACTCCAAAAAACTCCCCAGACAAAACCACCACCAACAAAAAAATATCCCTCAAACCAGTAGATGATAGTGTTGTAGCAACTGTAAAAGGTCTTTCCTTAGTGTAGATCTTGGTTTAACTCCTGACACAACTTGCCAGTGAAAACGCGGGTGAATGTCAAGGTTGACAGAGATGATCCAGTGAATGAGGAGTTCAGAGGAGTTTGAAGAATTTGGTTTCTCAGTGGTGACTGTGGCTGGCACAACTGTGTCAGCAGAAGAGATGGTTCTCTTCTAAATTCTTAACCTAAACTGGCAGTGATGGGTTTTCGTAGCTCATTAGCATGTTCCCAAAGCAGTTTCAGAATGAAACCGTATAGACTGTATGACCCGTAGTTAATATATAAGTATACTAAATGATGCTATACTTATGAAAATATTTCAAATTAAAATTAACTAATATCAAGAATATTTTAATATTTAAAAAAATATAGACTTCAGTGGATTTTGGTTCTCGTCTCTGCTGATAATCATCTCCAAATGCTAAATACTATGTATGCCAGAAAAAAAGAAAAAGAAAGCACAAAAAATGTTTCAATGATATTTTTCAAAAATACCCGTAAATCAAGTTTTTTACGGTCCCGATGTATTTTAAAAAACACTTTTCAACATCAATTTGAGTTTGTCTGCTTTTGCACTGGCAAATGGAGCTCAGGGCAAAGATCCCTCAGATAATAACAGAGCTGGCTTTGGAAGCAGAGGCTGCAAAGTTAAATCAGTGGGCTGTTAAGCATGACCTAAGTAGCTCTGATAAGGGCTAATGCAGCTGTGTTGCTTTTTCTGGAACCTGAGCTGATATCATGTGGATATGCTATCTTTCTTTGGGCTTCATTTTAAGGAGTGCGTGTGAATTTTTGATTCTCAGAACTGTGTTTTTGTTGGTTATGTTTGTCACGAGATTTATTGCTGTTGCACTTGGACCGAGCAGGAGCGTAGCTTACAAGTTATAGTAGGTGATTCTGGCTTTGCAAAGCTCAGTGCTTTTCATGGCTGCTCAGAAAAACGGCAACAAAATATTTTTTCCAATAGAACTCAGTAGACACTTAGATGTTAACAAATTGTCATACTGATCTGCAGTCTTCTAGGACTCATGATTGGTCGTCCCTAGGCTCTGGGAGACTGCTTGCCTTCCCAGGGCTCTCCATGTTGCTGTGCTGTGGCACCGTAGCCAAATCTCAGCCCCTTTGGGAGAAATTTTAAAGCTGTTGGTGGTGCTTTGGTGGTAAATGGGGTCTTGAATTTCCCTGCAAAATGGTATTGCTTTCCTCTGGTTGGTTTTGGGATCCCAGCTTGCTCTTATTTCTGAGTCAGTGGTGCGAAGTATCTGGAATATAAATGATGCTGAGTCTGAAACTGTCAATTGAGTCATACTCCCTTGTAACCCACTTATTTGTGTTCACTTTTTTTCTTGAATAACAAAATGCTACCTTTTGCTACGTTCATATTGAATTTCTCTGCTTTTATATCAGGACAGTGAAGATTCCTGACTCTGCAGATGGACTCGGATTCCAAATCCGGGGCTTTGGCCCATCAGTTGTCCATGCTGTCGGGAGAGGTAAGCTTTAAGAGCCATCAACGGTAGTGATAAATATATATTTAATATCTAAATGACATATCTAAATTAGGTCCAGTGGTTCGGCTTAGATTTGTGTTTTCCTCCATAGTAACAATATTAAAGAAAACCAAATAAGATTATTTTGTGTTCTTATACTTTGTAAACTTTAAATTTTTTGGCTTTTTTTTGGTGAGGGAGTATGTATTTATACGAATGTAGGAAAGTTAACTTAAGGCTGTCCATTCTTTACAGACTAAGGAATAACTGATGGGTGCAAAATCACTTTCTGCAGTGAATGGGTATTGGAAACCACTCAGTCCCTGAGCTGTAATTTGTGAGGTGGCCATGTGGTTCTACAATGTTCTGAAAACAGATTTTTTTACAGAAATCGCACTTCTCACAAATCTTTTCAAGGGTGCTAGTGCCCTAGACTGTCTTAGTAATTGCAGATGTTTCCTCTAAATACTGATTAGTCCATTTTGTGATGTGATTGTCAAATGCTTGCCATCCCTAGCTCACTGTGTCCTTGACTGGTGCACTGGTCATAAAAGATATTGAAGCAGTTGAAAGTTGCTGTTGCACGTTGTTAATGGTAGAGCCAACTAACATGGTATTTTCAGCTATAGTGGGACAGTTGTGTCCTTTTTTCCCCCTCCCCCTTTTGTAATTGAGGAATTTTAGGTGAACTGATCTGCAAAGCAGCCAGATTTGAACAGAGCTCGATGCCTTTTTTTCTAGGCTGCGGTGCCAGAAATTAGATTTTCAGGAGAAAGTCTAATAAACTACAGACTGTTGAGCTGATGTGATAATTATTTCTGCACCTGGATCTCAATTCAACTGCCTATCCTTATTCATTAAGCACATACTTTATTCCAATTAGCCTCAGCAGTGTGTAAGTGCTTGCTTGTGTGGTTTGCTAAACCTGAAAGATTTTCAGCATATGCTTAAATACTTCGCTGAATTGGGACCTTGGGTTTTTTGAAGAGAGATTGGGGGTTTTTTGAGAGGTATTGAAGAAGGCCTGTTTAAATGTTTATTTTTAAATCCTTTTTTTTTTTTTTTTTTAACTGGAATAGCTGGTAATGGTGTAATTTCCAAAGACCTTCTTGGAAATTAGATTTAAAATGCAGATATCGTCTAACCTGATAATACCTAAAATGAGGGAAATCCAGGGATATTCTTTATGTTATTTCCTAGTCAAATATGCTCAGTTGACGAGGTGTGACACAGCTTTTGTATTTGTCAGCCCTGCAGAGTTGGTCTGGCCTTCTCTTTCATAGCAGCCACCTTCTGCCCCTCAGCCTCATGCTCTCTAGGCAATAGATTTCTTTAACTTTTCTGGCACCCTGGTGGCAATATCAAGAGAGACATAAGGAGATGAGTGTCCAGGTGGCTGAAACGAAGGTCATACTCCAGCAGGCTGTCTGTCTGTCAGGAGTGGGCTTGAGTCACGCTGAAAAGACCTGGAGACATCTGCTATTTTTGTAGCACATCTACGATGGATAGAAGATTTTTCACAAGGTGGTTATTCCATTGTGAAAATAAATCACTGAACCATATATTTTACGTTGCTCAAAGAGGATGTTTTGTTTCACGGTGGATTTTTTTTTCCCCCAAAAAATGATTGAATTTGAGATCTCTACTTGGTTATCTTTGAGTATTTTGATTAAAGCTGTAAGGCACTCTGATATAACAGAGTTGGTAAAAAGATTAAAATAACAGCAACTTCCTTGGAAATGGTTTTGGATTTGGATATTTTTCTTAATGTTTAAGAAGAAACTCTAGTATGCTCTGTGAGTTGGTAAAAAGATTAAAATGTTTAAGAAGAAACTCTAGTATGCTCTGATATTTCTTTATGAATTGTCAGAAAGCTTCTGTTTTGTAAGTAAATTACCTGAAGCAGTCAGGAAGCTCATAAACTTGGGGCATATAAAAGAATTCAGAATAAAAGTGGTCTAAGTTACAATTAGTGAGTTTCAAGCTAGAGCCTTTTTATCCTTTTAAAATGCCTTTTCTTTATGAGAATTTTTCCACATATTCATCTTACTAATCAACACTTGTTTTATAAAATAGCCTTTAGGAAATAGTCTAGTCTCTTTTTTTATGGAATCATCTGCTGGGGAACTCCATTTCCTTGGAATCCAGCTGACTGCAGAAGCACCCTGTGGTCAGGGGATGTAAGAATTGGTGAGAGCGGATTCTGGTTAAAAAAAATGAGGGTTTTGGACTGTAAGCTTTAAAGGGGATATTTAGGGAAAAGAAGCCTGTTAACTGTGTTGGATTTGTTTTTTTTTATAGGAACAGTGGCGGCTGCAGCAGGTCTTCACCCCGGCCAGTGCATAATCAAAGTGAATGGAATTAATGTCAGCAAAGAGACTCACGCGAGTGTTATTGCTCATGTCACGGCATGCAGGAAGTACAGGCGGCCCATGCAGGTACATTTCACTGGGAACACTTGCAGATTTTCTTCTAAATTTATTTTTGGTCATAGTAACCAGCGTGGTATGTATCTCTGTCCACGTATCTGTTGTGTTTGAGTGTGCTGAGGGGAAAAGGAGTGGTGAATAAAAGTGAAGGGAAGCCAGATGAAATAGAAAAACTGAAGATTCCTCAATATATTGCTGATGTTCAAGGTCTGTTTAATTTCTGCCTTGAAATAAATCTAAGCTTGTAGCTTTTTTTTTTTAATATGACATTTTAATATTATTATTTCAAGTGTTTCTGAGGTTCTGTGCAGAAAGCGTTACGAAGCATATTCTCCTCATGATGGAGGGGGATTTACACAGCTCTCTGCCTGCTCAGCACAGCAGAAGGCAATGCAAAAAGCTCATCTTCTTCCAGAATTTTGTATACTTCAGCACAGAGAGAGCAGAGTGCACATATTCCACCTATAAAAGTCTCTGTGTTCCCATTGCATTCTAATCTTGGGCATTCAGGACACAAAATTTCACTTATTTAAAATAAAAGCATGCAATTTTTATTATCTTTTTCATGTTAGTTTAGGAGAAAATCTAAGGCTTCCGAAATTTGGGAGAAAACCCAAACCAGCTGGATTCTATGATGTAATTTTTCCAAGACCCTGCAATTTTTTCATAAACTGTGAATCACCGTAATTAATTAACTTCACAAACTCTTCCAGTGCATGTTAATTGAGAAGAAAAATCCAATTAAAATCAAAAGTGAAATCCTTCTCCTACACCTATTGCATAGATATGAGATAAGAATTTTAAGTAAGAGTTAGGTAGAACTGTGTCGTGCTAATACAGTCTTTATGAAAACGTTTGTCTGGATGTTTGTGTTTAAACTGTAATACAGAATTGAAGTTAAAAGCATATCAAAATCAAGCTCACCTGTTCTTCAAGGAAGATGCACTCTAGTAAAGAGAAGGTGCTTTTTTGCACTGGTAGCAAAACTGGCTAGAATAAAAGATAAATTTTATTCTTCGTAACAGGTGCATTCTCTCTGTGTGTAAGTGCAGAGTTCCTGTAGAGATTAAGACATCCAAAGGGGATTGATTAATGTTGGCTGGCATGAATGCCTTGACATGCAAAATGACTCTGTTTCTTAAGCCATTTGTGTAATATGTTGGAGGACATAACTGGTTTTCCTATACGGAGTATTTATTTCAGTCTTAAAAAATAGCTGATCATAATTCAGCAAATCAGAAATAACTAAAATCTCCCAGACTGACAAGAAAAACTTCATTTAGGATGTAGTGCTATCAAATGCTATGGGAGAACTGTCTAGACTGAAGTAAATGGCAGTATTCCCCCTGGTGTCAAGACAGCTAAAATTTAATTTGCTATTCAGAAATGTGAGTTTTTAATTATTTGGAAGGTGACTATGGATTTCTCCTATTTTGTAAGTACAGTGTATTAGGCTATCATTTAATTAACATGAATATTGCAGTCTCTCCTATGGCTGTCAATTGCATAATTGGAAGGGGATCTTTTTCTGTCTCCTGCATATTCCACTTCTCGGGGTGAGGAGTCTTCCTGCTTGCCTGGAGCATGAAGTTTCAGTTCAGATTCTTTCAGTGTGAATAACTTCTGTTTATATTCTTTCTGTCTTCTCTGGATAAAGGACATTGAAAGCAGATTTTACTTCTTGGAATTACAATTTATTTGCAGTGATACTTAGGGCTACAAAGATGATGAGGGGCCTGGAGCATCTCTCTGACGAGGAGAGGCTGAGGGACTGGGGTCTTTTTAGTCGGCAGAAGAGAAGGCTGAGGGGGCATCTGATCAATGCCTATAAATACTGAAAGGGAGGGTGTCAAGAGGATGGGGCCGGTCTTTTTTCAGTGGTGCCCAGTGACAGGACAAGAGGGAACAGGCTCAAACTTGAATGTAAGAAGTTCCACCTAAACATGAGGAGGAACTTCTTTCCTGTGAGGGTGGCAGAGCCCTGGCAGAGGCTGCCCAGAGAGGTGGTGGAGTCTCCTTCTCTGGAGACATTCCAAACCCACCTGGACATGTTCCTGTGGGACCTGCTCTGGGTGACCCTGCTCTGGCAGGGGGTTTGGACTAGATGATCTCCAGAGGTCCCTTCCAAGCCCAGATCATTCACTGATTCTGTAATCACGATCTGACAGATTTAGGCTGTAATGCTTTTGGAGAACGTTTGAGTTACGTAGCGTTGTATCTTGTATTAACTTTTGAAAGAGGGACTTCCATAATAAGCAGTTTTTCTATTAGGCCATATTAAGTTCAAATAAGGAAGTAACCCTTTGACATAATGTAAATCCCCTATTAGAGATTGGCATGACAGTCTTAATGCTGTCGATCAGCTTGTACCACGGGTATCTTCCAGCAGTCGAGAGAAATCCCTGAAATTTAAGCTTCCTTATTAAAATATTTCAGTGCCACAGAGTGAAAATTAAGGCTTGGGTGAATCTGGGAAATCTAGAGAGAAATAGTACCTTAATCATGCAAAAGCTTAGTTATTGATGATTAATGAGTTAAAGATAGCGGCTGAATATCGTATAGTATAATATAATGTGCTTGGCATTTTGTATGAAAATCACAACATTCAGATTAAACTTTTGCTGTCCTTGCTTAACTTTGAATCCTTTCCACAAAGTTCTTTTTAAAGTCTATGAGTTCAGATTAGTCATAATTGTGTCATTTATTCGCTGTAGCTGTTGGAGAGGGAATGATTAACTGACTGTCAGGCTTCTTTTGAAGTGTAAGGGGAAGAGAAGAGCATTCTGGAGATGCTGTACTTGATAGGCCCTTCCACAGGGATGTGGTGGGCACGTGGATGAGCACCTGACGGGGGAGAACAAGTTGTAAGGGGTACACATGGCTTCTCCATAGGTTATGTGACCAAGCCACTGTTCCTCTGACCATGTGTCACTCAGTCACATAAGATGCTGGACTTTTGGAGCTGGTGATTCTGTTCTTTTGAGGGGTTTTGCTAATGTGGGGGAAAAATAAAGGACATCTAGTAAAATTACTGTGGTCAAGGCAAATATAAGTGATGAAGGAGGCAAATATAAGTAATGATGGCTGTAGTGTATATTCTTCTTGCCAGTGACACGTAGGTGATAGATTAACTGGATGTTCCATATCTTTTGTTGGCATTCCGTAATATTTGTGGACACCCAGGAGATTTAGCAAGGCGAAAATCAGTTCTCTGTTTTTGCATGTTTTCTTGTCTCAAATATTTTTCAATCTGCAGTTTGATTTGAAATGTCTTAAATTATTTTTGGCAGAAACATGAAACTGATGGATGTCATGCTGTCACAGATTCCATACTGTCTCATCGCAGTATACTCTGAAATAAAAAATAAGTTGACAAAATGCTTCAGATGGTTTTAGACAAAGCCAAAATTATCTGTAATTTTTGAAATACTATTTTTAATTTGGAGCTCAGAAGGCAATAAAGCTGATAATAATCAGGGAATTGAAGGAACTATTTCACGTTTGAGAGCAGTGAAATAAATTGCTATCCATTGTACCTGCAAAGCTTTTCCTAGCTGTCTTTTTTTTTTGTTGTTGTTTTTTAGCAAGATTCTATACAGTGGGTTTACAACAGCATTGAAAGTGCACAGGAAGATCTTCAGAAAACAAACACCAAGCCCTCTGGAGAGGATGGAGGAGATGCCTTTGACTGCAAAGTGGAAGGTATGTGATGCTTGTTTTGATAATGTTGTTGCTTAGAACATTGGTGTAGTAGAAAGGAAAATAGAGGCAGTGTTTTTTTTCAGAGAGGGAACTGCAAGCAGATCATAAAATGTGTTTTACATAAGGATTTGCTTTTTTATGTATTCTAAAGATGTGAATTTAACATGCTGTTCTCTGAAAATTATTATATTTCCTATTTCAAGAAAAAGCTTCTGCAAACACTTTAGGGAAAATCTGTTCAATTTTCTTTCATAGGATATATAATCCTACGAATTACCTGTTTTTCACCACGAGTAATCATTTAAGGCTAAATTAGATGCATTAGTCACTACTGCATGAGAAATAACAAATCAGCTATCCTTCAGATTATTTTCAGGCAATTAACATTTAGATAAAGCTGGATTCATATGCATCACGGTAATTAAAGAGATAGTTAACATGTAAACTGTATTTATGTTTTCTGGGCAAATGCTGATATTGTGGTTTCATTTCTGAATGTTGATGCTTTTTCTTCTAGTTTATTTAGAAGTTTTCAGTCTTCCATTTTTTGTTGCTTTTTTATGTCTCTGGATTATAAGTGAAATTGAACTAGTCCTTTTCAATAACTGTTTTTGAAGGGAGACTATTGTGACTTGTCTGTTCGTGCTTCTGTAGCAATCTAGTATTTTAGTATTCATAAACCTACTGGTGTTCCAGGAGCTGGGATTTTGATGAACGTTTTTTAAGTAGAATAATCAGATCATACTTGTTTTTAGAACGTTTGCCTAGGTCCTTTCAATTTTGTTTAATGGCCAACTCTCCTCAACTGAATGGTGTCATTTTCTATGTTCTAGAGGTAATTGACAAGTTTAATACTATGGCAATAATCGATGGGAAGAAAGATCACGTGAGTCTGACTGTAGACAATGTTCATTTGGAGTATGGAGTGGTTTATGAATACGACAGCACAGCTGGAATAAAATGCCACGTGTTAGAAAAAATGATTGAGCCAAAGGGATTTTTCAGCTTGACTGCAAAGGTATGAAGCATTTTTTGTATGTATTAATGCCTAATACCAATGGAGCAATCTTCTGATGATTCTTAGGATTATATGTATTTTATTTAATATCTTGTAATTGGTCACCTTTATCCCTCTGACATTTTGGAGGATGATTGTGTACTCAGGAAGCAAAATAAATTATGGTGCAGTTAGAAATTGAACCTCTAAACTCAACAAATGTTAGAAGACTTGAAAATCTTCCATCCCTCCTGCCCCTCTCCCTTTTTTTTTTCTCTTAATTATCAAATAAAACTTCAAAGGAAGTTGAAGACTTGCTGAAATGTGAAAACTTGGTGAAGGTAGGCTGTAGTTTCCTAGTGTCATTTAATCTCATCAGAATTGCATATGTTACTGTAAAATTTTGTTTCAGTAAGAGTAACAGGAGTAGCACAGCATCTGTCTTCTCTGTGTCTTAAAGTAAAACAGCACATGCATTGGCAAAATCACAGAGGAAGAAAAAAAACAAGTGCAACCTTTGAGTTGCTTTGGTGTTTATTCGTTCTGAGTCTTTCCAAATGATAAACCCTGTGATTGCTATTTTTTTAGTGTTGTCCGGGTCACATTGACAAGTAATGCAGTAATACAGCACTTTTACCAAGCTTTCTTTGGTCTTTTCACACACATACGCAGACTAACAAAATACACTTAATAAAAATATGAAAGCCAAAACTGTTGGGTAGTGTATTGAAATTTGAAAATTTCTTTTGAAAGAAATTGGAAGTGTAAGCTAAAGTACTGACCTTTTATTGAAATGGCTGAGATGTGGGCATGTGTTTCTGTTCCCTAACTTGACTTCGGGGCAGGTTGCCTTGACGAGGGAGTAACTTCTTACACCACCATCAGGAAATTTGATAGAGCTGATCTATTCAATGCTTCAGGTCACTGGCCTGAAGGATGTGTATTTTTCGCTCTAATTACTATTTCATATAAAATATCATTTCCTATCTGCTTAAGAAATATTTTTCCTTTGTTTTATATGGAGTAGTTCAGTAAAGGAGTACTTCCAGCACACTGATTCTGGCCTTAAACGATGCAATATCATCACCCTTAGTGTTTAGGCTGGCTAATTAAATATTTAAAGATGACTAAAAGATAATATGGAGATGTAATGTAGCTATGTTAGAATAATATAAAATTTATTTCAAGTGATGGTGGTCTAAAAAGAGGTGATTATCCCACTTTGTATAGTGTTGGTGCATCCTTTCCTTGAGTCCTGTGAGCAGTTCTGGGCCCCACAATTTAAGAAGGATGTGAAGGTCCTTGAGTGTGTCCAGAGGAGGGCAACAAAGCTGGTGAGAGGGCTGGAAGGAATGTCCAGTGAGAAGTAGCTGAGGACTTTGGGCTTGTCTTGTTTGGAGAGAAGGAGGCTGAGGGGTGACCTCATGGCTCTCTACAGCTTCCTGAGGAAGGGAAGTGGAGAGGGAGGTGCTGAACTCTTCTATCTGGGATCCAGGGGTAGTACATATGGGAATGATCCAAAGCTGAGTCAGGGGAGGTTCAGACTGGATGTTAGGAAGCATTTCTTTACCAAAACAGTGGTCAAATACTGGAACAGGCTCCCTAGAGAGGTGGTTGATGCCCCAGGCCTGTCAGTGTTTAATAGGTATTTGGACAACGCTCTTAATAATACGCTTTAACTTGTGATAAGCCCTGAATTGGTCAGGCAGTTGGACAAGATGATCGTTGTAGGTCCCTTCCAACTGAACTGTGCTGTCCTATCCTGTGCTGTTGTAAAAGGTCCACTGGTAGAAATATCAGGTCGCTTAACTCAAAGGCAATAATAAAAATTGTAGTGGCACTTCATCAAATATAACTGTCTGCAAATGGTTTTAAACACTCAAAGCTTTCAGTAGGTTCTTATGCTTCTCTCCATATGTTTCTTTCTTTCTTTGCTGTGTATTTATTGTTGCTTTGCATTTTTGAACATTTCTACTCTGCATCATATGTAGTAGGGGAGTGAAGTACTCCTATATATAGGAAGCTTTCTTATATCTTGTGCAAATCTTTACTGTGTTCATTATTATGATAAGTATCCAAAGTCGTGCTGCAAAAATTACTGGTTTTGAATGCACTTATTTTAATGTACAGCTGTAAAAAAAAATCTTGAATTATTCTAATTTCTATTACTAATTAATCGATACATGAAGGAAACTTAGAAGTGTGAGCAAAGTGACCGGGATGTTTTAAGAGTTAAAAGCTTTCCTTTATTTATTCTGCTGGGGACTTGAGAAAAAATTCTCTCAGGATCTAGCCTGTGACTTCTTATAAACTTCAGATTTTGCACTCCAACATTTCTGTACATGGTCATTTTTTTTTTCTAAACTCCTCGGTCAACCTTATAAATCATATATTACATCTGTGATGGTGGGTGCTATAACAATGAACTGTAGCAGAAGTGGAATACAGATTTAAGTCCCATGATGGATTAATACTGTATGTGTTTTTTCTCCAGATTTCTCCGAGTTACTCTAAAATGCAAGCCTTTTCTTACTTAGCCCTTTAATCTGGACTTTAGGTGCCTTTGTTGGAAAGTTATTTTGGGTGTGCTTTTCAAATGCATCTTCAGAGTTGGACCCAACCAGCAATAGGCATCTCCTCAGTTCCATAACACAGTTAATTTCAATGATTGAAACCTTAACTCTAACTCCAAAAAAGGGCTGTGTGCTGGCCTTATCTCTTAAACATCCTTTTTTTTTTTTTCCCCATTTTGTATCACCATCATTTCCTAGAGCTATTCCCATCATACCAAGACTTCAGTCTTCACTGGCCATTATAGTTTATTCTGTTTCCTGTTTATATGTGCAGAATATACAAGAAGATAGCACTCCGTTTTCTTGTATGCTTTTTCATTGTCTTACTGTCGCTTTTACTGCCAGACCAAAGTTTTGCTACATGTAATTAACTTATTCATCAACTTTGCATAATATGTGCAGTTCAGGCAAATACAGCAGATAATGCATTTCAGAGGAGCCATAGTGGTCACATTAGTAGGAAATGAGTAGTAAATCCATTGCCAGAAAATGTCATGAGAAGCCAAATAAAAGTACTTGTTATGGGTATAACTTATGCAGGGGATAGATTTTTAAGAAACCTCTTTGCCTCCCAAATTTCGTTAATTGTTGTTATGCAGCATTGCCTGTAATGTTAAAAGACAACTGATTATCAGGCTTAAGCTTTAATTATAAATGATGACAAGTAAGGGGTTATCTTAGTTGTCTTATTTCATAACCCACTGCTCTTGTTTTTATTATCTTAGATTCTTGAAGCACTGGCAAAAAGCGATGAACACTTTGTGCAGAATTGCAACAGCCTCAGTTCCTTAAATGAAGTGATCCCCACCGAGCTTCAAAGTAAATTCAGTGTCATTTGCAGTGAGAAAATCGAGCACATCTACCGAAGAATCTCCAGTTATAAAAAGGTATGACCGGCATGTCCTAAGCATGGTGATACTTGTCTTTTAAGGGAAAACTAGAGGAATGTGGTGCAGTTTGAATCACTCTTCAAAATGTCTATTGCAATGACAAAAATATGGCAGAAAGTTTAGCTATTTTGGGGTGGGAATGCCTAAACTGAGTAATTGTATAAATGGTTTTCAAACCGTGCTCTTTATTATCCCTTTTTTAGGCACTGGATAGATCGTATTCTTTCTTGTTTGCTGTGTTCAGTTGTAGATACAATCAACTGCATATTTCCCACAAAAGGCCCAGCATTCTTGTAAATGCCTTAAATCAATACTCTGGTGAATTTGCAGATGTTAACCAAAAATGATGCAATAACAGCAGAATTGTTTTTTTTCCTTCTAGTGCATCTTAATTTTAAATACCAAATTGTTACCCTTTTATTCATCTTTTATGCCCTTCAAATTGGTATGACTTTTTCTAGCATGACTATTAATAGTAATGGCTCTGTAAATTGTTAGATTAAGTTGGGTTAATAAAACATTATAGCAGGGGAAAAAAGGAGAAGGTACTGACTTTCATACACTTGAGATCTAAACTAATGAGATGTGAATGAATAAATAACCCAGAGTATGACCTCTAGCTGCTGTATTTCTCTATAGTTGTATTTAGCTAAGCAGGGCATAAATGAATCATCCATTTGCCAATTTGTTAATACAAACTTATTTTCTTATCCTGGCCTCTGGTTCCTCCCCCATACAAGTTGATTCTTGGGAGTTTGGAAATAGTTTGATGAAGGTCCAAAATGGCTACACAGAACTGGCTCTGCCCCTTCTTATCTCAGTTGGAGATCTGAGTTGTGACATTTACAAACTGGCCTCTTCTGATAGCTAATAGGCAAAAAAATTGAAAAGATAAAGAAAGAGAAGGAAAAAAGAATCATAGAATTGTCTAGGTTGGAAGGGACCTTTGATATCATCTAGTCCAACCATCAGAGGACTCAATGTAGAAGAGGCTCAATGTAGAAGCTCCACACACTTCTAAAAGTTGCATGGAAATGAACAGATAATGTTCTCTTGTGTTTCGAGGAAAAACTAAGGAAAAACTGTAGCTTCAGTAGGATGAAGCCCAAAAAGAGGCTTTCCAAAGGCTTTTCAGGGTGCTTTCTGGCAAGAAATGGAGTAAACTGAGGATTCACAGAAGGAGATATCAAAAGGATTCTGATACTGCATTACCAAACATCCGATTTCTCCGTTGTTTGCCTGAATTACAGGCCTCTGTTTTTTCAAAATTGATTCAAAATCAAAATAGCTTTTTTAAAAAAAACAAATTCATTAGTTTTAACATTAATAATAGTGCACTTAAAGTTCAAGTAACATGTAGGTGGTTACTTTCCTGTAGCCAAAAAATTTGAGCATGATGTACAGTCTTTTAACAGGAGGTCAAGACAACGAATGGAATTTTTTTGTGTTGTGCTGGATATGAAATGAAGAGCCTCAGAGAAGTTTTCATAGTGCTTATACTGTCTAGAAGCAGATATTGCTGATACAAACTGTACTTTTAAGCTCATCTGCTCAAAAATCAGTAGATTCACAGTTACAGCTTTTAATGACAATTAGTAACGCAACGAATTTCAGGAACAGATATGTCATTTTCTTGGCAAGGTAAAGGTAACCATAGTTACAGCAGGCTTTGGGAGCGCCTGAGCCCGGCTTGGCTCCTGGTTTCACTGCGAAAGTTCGAATTCTATAAATAGAAACTCTGTAGATTTCTGCAGTTCCTACTATTATTATTATCAGAACATTTTGCTCATAATAGACCTCGGGTCTGGTGCCATGAGTCCCAGATGTTTCTCAACACATATATGAAAAGAATTTTGGGCCTGACTTATGACCTGATTAAATCGTAGCCAGGCATTTGGTCTCTCTGGAGCAGGATGTGTGGGAGATTGAGATGTGAAATATGTACTGCTTGCAGGAACATTTTCATTGCTGAATGTCCTTAGTGCCCTTCTTAACTGTTTGTACATTCTTCAGCCTTCGAACAATTCCATAATTGGATTTCTTGTAACCTTCCAGATCTTGCTCTGATATAAAGATTTAAATGTAATTAATCAGTCAAATGTTCATCAGGCTGAAGCAATGTGACACCAAAATAAACAGAAATTTAAATCCCAGCACAACCCCCTGTTATTACTCGGAGGGGACATACTTCTGTTCAACTGAAGTGCTAGTCAAAACTTGACTGATTGGATTTGTACTGACATTTATTAGGGAAGGAACTTTGCAAGGTAAGTTTGCAAATATTCTTATGCATGAGCTGTGCTCCATAGCGGAGCTAGGGCTGTGCAATATTTTGACTGGAGAGATACTGTGATTAAAATACTAGGGACTTGGAACTGATTATGTCTTTTCCAGAAAAAATTCTCCCCTAAAAACAAACAGCACTGGAAAGGACACATTTTGACAAAAATCCTACTTGTGACTGACAAATCTCTTTTCCAATAGGAGATCTTTATCTCATGACTTTTATAATTCTGAAGCAGGTGTATTTTCTAAGTGTCCAAATTTAGTACAGTTCTGTCCTAGCCATTTTGGGTTGATAAGTATAAGCATGTTCAAGAGTATGCACAAATTTCAGGTGTTACAGTGAAGGAGTCTTGGCTAAGCACCATATTAGAATTAGACCATAAAACAGAGGAGAAAAAAATGTTCATTATTGCTGAGCTGATATATGGGGGAGAGAGGGGAAAAAATATTTATTATTGCTGAGCTGATATATGGGGGAGAGAAGATATGGTGGACTAGCTAAGTCTGTAAAATACAGTGTTCGCGATTCTAATGTTCATCAGCTTCACAGAATCACTATGCAATTTTTATGCTCTAATGTTCATCAGCTTCACAGAATCACTAAAAATCACAGAATGGTTGAGGTTGGTAAGGACCTCTGGAGGTCTTGTCCAACCTCTCTGCTCAAGAAGGGCCACCTAGAGCCAGTTGACCAGGACTATGTTGAGATGGCTTTTGAATATCTCCGAGAATGGAGATCTGACAACTTCTCTGGGCAACCTGTGCAAGTACTTAGTCATCCTCACAGTAAATAGTTTCCTGATGTTCATAGAGAACCTCTGTTTTTCAGTTTGTGCCCGTTGCCTCTTGTCCTGTCACTGGGCACTGTTGAAAAGAGCCTGGCTCTGTCTTCTTTGCTCCCTCCCTTCAGGTATTTCCATAAATTGATGAGATCCCCTTGATCCTTCTCTTCTCCAGGCTGGACAGTCACCATTTTCTCAGACTTTCCTCATAGAAGAGGTGCTCCAGTCCCTTAACCATCTTCGTGGCCCTTAGCTAGACTCTCTCCAGAATGCCCATGTCTCTCCATTTCTGGTGAGCCCAGAACTAGACCCAGTACTCCTGGTGTGGCCTCACCAGTGCTGAGTAGAAGAGCAGGATCACCTCCCTCTATCTGCTGGCAACACTCTTAATGTAGCACAGGAAACCATTAGGGGAGGACTTCATCCTTCCTGAATATGAAATTCATAATACATAACTTCCAGTTCTGTCTTTATCATAGCTTCAGGCAAAATCTTCATAAATTTTTGCAAACATTGACTTGAAAACATCTGTGTCAGCAGGTGTTTATAAATGTCATATGCAGTACAGCACTGGATCATAGAGCATTTCCAGACTTTCTCCCCAGATAGACACTGTTAATATTTTATTATGTTGCAAGGAAAAAAATCTCTCTCCCTGTTACAAGGCTATTTACATTCATAAAATGTATCATTTACTTCAAAAACCAATCCCTCAAAAATATAAAATGAAAAATATTTTTTCTTTCGCTTGTAGAGGAAGAGGGAAATTGTGAAGTCAAAGCATCTGATGTTCACGATGCCTGAAATATTTTAAACTTTTCATTTTCTAGTCAGGTACACAAGTTTTCTCAGGCAGGTGCTGACACATCAAAAGCTTTTAATCAAAATTTTGTTTTCTTTCTCACTTCTAGTTTTCAAGAGTATTAAAAAACAGGGCTTGGCCTACCTTCAAACAAGCGAAGTCAAAGATTTCTCCACTTCACAGCAGTGATTTCTGTCCAACCAATTGCCATATCAATGTGATGGAAGTGTCTTACCCTAAAACCTCAACTTCCCTTGGTAGTGCTTTTGGTGTGCAGTTAGACAGCAGAAAACATTCTTCGCATGAAAAAGAAAATAAAAACACTGATCAAGGTAAGTCAGTTGAACTTGAAAGAACTATTTTCAGTGCTTCTGATATAGAGCCTTAAAAGGTAACTGGTTTAGGTTTGTGTCCCAAATATTAAAATGAAGGACAAGCCTTTATGAAATCCCCCTAGTTTCAATACTCAGGTTTATTTTAAAGCATAAAAAAGGCTATTCGTTATTTTACTATAACTCTTTCCTTAAATAGCTTGACCTTGATATGGAAAATTAAATGCAAGATTAAATAAATGCATGAAGTTTTAAGCAGGAAAAATATTTGTATTTTACTGAGGTTAGAATTTATCTTGAAAAAAATAAATAATGATGTAACCTCTTTGGATTATTCCCAGGTAAACTGAGTCCCATGATTTATGTCCAGCACACCATTACTACTATGGCTGCCCCTTCAGGACAGTCTCTTGGCCAGCAAGAGGGCCATGGTCTGAGGTACCTCTTAAAAGAAGAAGATTTAGAAACACAAGACGTCTATCAAAAATTGCTGTTCAAATTACAAGCTGCACTGAAAGAGGTGGAAAGCTGTGTCTGTCAAATAGACGAGTAAGTAAATGTTCCCATCTGGACTTGCCTTTATTTTTCCTGTTGAAGATGCCAATGAATCTGGGTATCATTTTTGTGTAGTGTGGGATCAATGTTGACTTCAGATAGAATTGAGATAAGGCGAAGAATTTAAGTGTAGGTAATAATATATTTTGTTCTTTTTCCCAGGATCCCTGATTTTTTCCCACTTTCGTTTGTAGCTTTTCTCTAAAATGTGGAAATGCTAATTATTTGGAGGCTGAAATATGAGACCCGCATCATCTAAAATTTCACTAGGAGTGGAAACAAAGGGCAGAGTTATAAAAACAGCTTTAATTTAATTCTTCAGGTATTGCTGAATAGTCCCGAAGATTAGTTTGTAAGCAAAGCATTTTTGACTGATAGAAAAATTATTAATTTATTAGAAAGTGGCCTTAATGAAGAGCTCTGGATCTAGGGAGAGCTGCTACTGTGTGATTACGACACTAGGCTTGAATGTGGGAGACCTAAAGTCTCATCACAGTTTGTTCTAATTCAGGACAAGGATTTAAATCTTGCTTTTCCAGTTGTGAGGTAAGTGGGTTGACTGCTGGGCCATTTGCTGACTTGGGATAAGGATGAAGAAGCATGATAGGTCTTTCAGTTTTGAAAGATCCCATACGTAATGCAAAAGTCAGAAATTACTCCTTTTGAAAATATAAACAATGTAATTTTTTGAGTTTAAAAGCTAATCTTTTGTGATTGGAAACTCACGTTTGGAAAAGTGATATAACATTGCTTCTCCTATTATTTTGAAAGTTGTACAGTGTTTTGACCTTTCATAGCTATTTCTGAGTAGGATGTTTTGTACTATTCTAATAGCAATATAATGTAATAATTACACAGTGTAAGTAATTGTATTACATACTGTAATAGCAGTGAAAGTAAGAATGGCCTGAAATTTTTCTAAGCATGTAGTTTTTTCTGTTCCTTTAAGTAGTTCTGCTAATTATGCTGAAGGTGAAGTCAGTTAATTACATTTAAGATAATTTCAGTGCTTGGATGCACTTAAAAAGAGTCTATAAAGCCTGTGTTGTCAGTCTTCCTCGAGGAAGTCAGAGAATTATATTTGGAAGTTCAGTCAATATTTCAGGAAGTTCTGGTTGCCAGTCTGCCTCACCTTTCCTTTCCACTCCCTTGAGCTGGGGATGCAAAACCACGGGAATTTCTGAGGCTTTTTTCATAGCCCTGTATGTATAAATACACACATCTGTATTGTGTGTGCAGTTACACACATACATACACACACATACACATTTTGTGAGTCACGTGGTTGTGAAAGTAATCACTAGCGTTCATTTTTTTTCCTTTCATAAATTTCCTCCACACTGACCTTGTAGCAGATCTTGTGTGAGGTGCAATTTATTATGGAAGGTGTAATTTATTTAGCAAATTTTACCTTTTGCTGTTTTTAAAACTGAGACTTTTCATGCTTTATTCCTCGCGGTCTTTGAGTGGGCTGCGAGTTTCTAATTATGGTGAAATACAGGAAACAGGACAGTCAAGGGACCTACTTTAAAAGCACTGACCAGGAAAGAAGGAACCTGGGCCTATCTGGGTGTGAGCAGTTCAGCAGTACCTGCTGTATTATATTAGAATGTAGTTACAGCTACTAATTAACTCTTGAGAGAAAAGTTAGGGCTACTGAGAAACAAAAGATAGAGTATATAAGATAGTATAGTCAAACAGCTGTGCTTTAATTAGAAATATTCATACATCAGTAGCTAGGGATATATGCTTAAACAGACCAATCCTTGAACTTTTTTACAAAGTCTGTAGAACTTCAGTTTTCTGTTATGACATGGGCAACAATAAAATTGCTAATCATAATAAGCAATTCAGTAAGCGATCCTCAATGTTATAAGTTTCTCAGGACAGAAAATAGGAGCACAGTGTCACAATGCTAAATTGTTGATTGATGCTAATTATTGATTGATGAAAAAAAATGGGCTACTGAATGACTTTTTGGTACCCTTTATAATAGTACTGTTGAAAAAGTTGTTGCTCTTTTGTGTTAATAGATGTCTCTGCTCTGTGCTGAGGTGAGCAGTGGTCTCTCTCTCAGCCCCCATAATCTTGTGACAGTGTTACCATAGAATCATAGAATGGTTTGGGTTGGAAGGGACCTTAAAGATCATCGAGTTCCAACCCCGCTGCCAGATACCCACCACTGATGCTAGATGTTATACAGAAATAAGTCCAGGTTGTCTTCTGTATGGTGACCCTGCTGTGTTCTTGCTTCACATGCACTCAAGTGTCCTCCCACGATCCCAGATGTTTTTTGGAAAGATGGTCTGTTGGGAGTATAGAAGAGGCTTGAACATTTTCCAAGCTGCAGGGAGAGAGGAAAAGGCAGAGCAGCTCACACGTTGCATAGGTTTCTTGTTGCTGCCTGTGGCTATGCATTTTTAATGCTGTGATTGACCATAGCAGATTTTGTTTGTTTCTGTCATATTTTTAGGATTGTGTTGATTTTGGTTACATTCAGGATTAATTCCGCATGTGAGAATTTTTTTTGCGTGAGATTTAAATTTCTCTGTTTCATGGAAACATTTTTTCCTTGAGATTTAAATTTCTCTGTTTCATGGAAACTTTATTCATAGTTACAGGCTCTGTAGTGGATAGTTACTACTTATTCATGTATTTCTCGTATGAGATAGATATCTAAGATGATTTTGTTTTGGGTAGACCCATCTCTAAAGAAAATATAAAGTGCATGTGCTGTGTTTAAGAAGGGTTTTTTGGCATCCAGGTTTGGGTTTATGTGTTTCAGACTCCCTGAATTGGGTTTCTAAGAGCACTTCAGTGACCATAGGAACTACCAGCTCCAGAACTCTATTATCCAAAGTTCCAGTTTTCGTTCATGGTAGTGCAGCAAAAAAATTTTCCTTAGAAAAAAGAGCCTGCCTGCTGAGAGAAAGTGAAAAGCTCCCTTAGGAAAAGCTCCAGCTACCTTCATCAGTCTTTTACTGAGATCTTGGCAGCGGTGACTAAACAGTCACATAAAAGAAGAGGATATAATAGTCTGTCTGTGTCTTGACAAATAATTACTCAGGGGAGGATATTTTCAGGAGCTGAAATTGCAGTTCATTATGCTTGTTTTTCACTTCTGATATTTTCTTGCGACAACAAAATCCACAAGAACTTACCAGAATGGATCTGCCCAAAGCCTATTTTTGTTTTCCTAGAAATGGATGATAACGGGAAAACAAGAGAACGCAAAAGTATAGGTTAATCCTTGTCCTTATCTCATCTCATTTTCCAGCAGGCAGTGTTACAAGGTCTACTTGGAATGGAGTTTTTGATTTAAGGGCACTGTTAGAATCATCTGCCATGAATTTGTCCAATCCCTTTTTGAACCCCTTTTGTATTTTTGTATTCAGAAAATAAGTTTTACAAGTACAAAGAACTAAGCTCTACATTTTCTTAACACATTTATCTTATGACATGTTCAAGAACATGTAGCAAGTAGATTGAAACTGAATACTGCTGTAAAATATGGTGACCATCTTTCTTCCTGTCCATGTAGAATCCTGCTAACCAATGGCTTATGTGATAGGGAAGAACTGAGTTGATTTCACACCGATGAAGTGTTAAGTCATCATGTAGCCCAAAAGATGTCTCTCTAGTGGATGCATGGGTTTAAAGTCCAGTAAAATCATACCTTTTGTGTAGTTTTTCTATATTTCAGTTACAGTTCAGGTCAGTACCTTCTCCTATATGTAGGATAAATATGTGTCTGTCTATCACTTGTTAGCTCTTAGAGAAATTTATGCAGGATCAATGAAAAGATATGCTAAAAAGCTTTTCTTATCATCCTTGTTTCCCTAAAGTTAATGTCAAACCTCATATTAACATCTAATCAGGTCATTATTTCAATGAGACCAAGCTTGATATACCATCTGAGGTATTTATTCATTGCTTTATAGTCAACAGAGAGCATTATAGGATAATCTACCCTACGGTGTTTCCAAAGTATATGCTTTCTTAATTTCTTGCTTAAAACTCTGTCCATTCTTGCAAGTGAGGAAATTATTTTTAGATACTCAAAAACATTGTAGTTGAAAATGGAGTTGAACACATTATCTGTGTTTTGTATGCAAAAGGTCACTGCTCTGAGTCCAGAAACTTCAACTTTCAAGAAAAGCTTAGGATCGGGTTGTTTTCTGGTAGAATATTATTTGTCAAAAGAGTAGAGAAATGGGTAGCTCAGTACTGATGTTAACTGTAACTGAACACACTTAATTTTGTTAGGATTAAGCATGAATTACTTTAATTGGCCCAGCCCCACAAAATTAAGATCGAGCTCTAAACCACTGAAAATCAGAATTCCTCCCTTGCATAATGTAACAATGCTAATACATGAAATAAGAGTAAATGAAGGAATTCTGAATGCTACCCTTCAATAACAATTAGGGCAGCATTTTTTTTTTTCATGTAAGATATGCATCTCCCATAGATTCCCTTCAGAAATAAGAATTTTGTGTAACAAAAAGATCTAACTTATGTTTGCATCCTGCCATGTATCTAGAAGAAGGTTTGCCAGTTGACCATTCAGACACCTCCTACAATAAAACTCTGCTGCTATATCTAAGTACTTGACAGGGAAAATAAGCTTAATTCAGCATGTTCTGTTTTCAGGTAGTTAGAAGGTAAGTTCTGCAAGAGAAATGCTGCCTTTCAAACCCAAATACTAGCTTGAAAATGTCATTCTAATGGAGTGTTTGAGTAATAGGAACTAAAGGACAGTTGCCCATTATAGCTGTTCTGATCTTGAAACTAAATTAGAACATCTCAATATGACTTAATCACCCAAGAATACGAATCTTTTCCTTCCAATATTTGTGCATATTCTAAATGTCTGCAGTGTTCTCTCTTCTTGACTGGATGTCACTTTTGTGCTCGTTGCAGAAGCTTGTAGATTAATCATCACTTTTACTAGTGATAGTAGCTTTGACACTTTGAGTGTCAGGAAATACACAGATATGTTAATAAAGATTCTTAAAATGCCTTAGTAAAATAGCTTGTGATGCAGGCTGGTGTGTCTGGTACAGTAGTAATTGAAAAAATATAGGCTTTTCACAGAGATACAGTTTCTTTGGCTTGTTTTCTTGATTTTTGCTGAGAAGGGCAGGGTTGTTGCTTACAAATAGTTATATTAATACAAAATTTGACCCCAAGTGTTCAAGAATGTGCTGTATTTCTTCCCCAGCCGGAGTCATTGCTTTCACACAAGATTGAGTATTTAGTAATGCTAATGGGTTTCACTGTTACACATTTTAACAGCAGAATGTGTCACTTCCTTCCCTTGTTTCAAACAGACATGAAGCGAATTTAGTTGTTCTCTCCATATATTATAGAATAAAAGTTGGAGAACATTGACAAGAAATGCTATCTTTTTGTAGCTCACTTTTGGAAAAACATAAATTTATCTTAATCTTTTCCTTTTTTTCTTTTTTTTGTGTCTCACAGCCTTCTTTCTTCAATAACATATTCTCCCAAATCAGAACGTAAAACACCTGAGCCTTTAATGCCAACAGACAGTGATAATGAAAAGGGGGAAAGGAATGGGAAGAAAGTCTGTTTCAGTGTGACAGGTGATGAACAAGAAGATTCTGGTCACGATACCATCAGCAACAGGGATTCTTACAGGTAACTTTACTAATAACATTTTCATTTCTCAACTCACTCAAACCTGTGGGTTCGTAGACTGTCAAGTGGCTATGAGGAATAGCAGAGTATAATGAATCTGACATTTCTAATAGAGGAATAACTAGCATCAAGATGTGTTATGAAATTTGTAAAATAAACTCTTTTATGCGTACAGATTGGTTATTAGATTTCAGTATCCCTAACCTTTACAGGATATCATAGCCAGAGCTGTAAGGCTTTACTTTAGATTACTCATCTCATAAAAAACAAAAATAATTTCTTTTATTATGCACCCAAACAACAAAACAAATATTTGCCATGGAAAGCAAGGTGCCAGAGCTACCACTCTTGCTGATCTAAAGAAAAAAATTAACAGTTTCTCAACATGTATTTCTCACCTTCTTCTATTCTAAATATTGTAGCATCACCTCATCTCTAGACTTCATAATGCATCACATTTACTGTGAATTAAAATACAAAGAATTTTGAAAAGGAAGCAGTAATTAAAGCAAGCATAGGTCTTTCAAAGATCATCTTCTGGGGCTTAGAGAGAATTGGTTAACTACACGATATAAAATCTAAATTAAAATTTTAGCTGCAAGTAAAATAAGGGTTCATTATTTGTTCATTATCTTGGTTCATTATTATGCTCAGAAAGTAGAATCTCAGTAGGGTCATCATTTTTCTACAGAACCCTGCATTGCTGAGATCTCTTTCATAAGCTAATATTTGATTACTGCAGCGTGGTAAATGGGATCTCTTTGTCAGAGTAGAAACAGAAATATATGTGTAAGTTTGAACAAAACTAAATGTAGAGATAATTCTCAGAGATTAAGTCCATCCTGTTCTAACTGTGGCAAACACACAAGCAAAGTGCTGTTCCGGCTGAAGCACGTTTTGGGGGTTCCTACGTGTCCATGATGTGTCGACCAACTGTGCAGGACCTGCTCCAGTGTCCTGCGCTTGCTCCAGTTGGGAAGTCCCCCAGTTGGCACGAGACCTGGATGTGTAGAAAAGGTGTGACTTAAGATATAGGTGTCTCTTCATTTAAAATATTCTCTTTATTCTGATTCCAATCATTTATAGTCCGTTGTGGCTGTTTAGGAATGATAAAGTCTAGGGTTCCATATGCAGAATAATCATAAAATCTGCCAGTTCCGACCAGTTGTTGAAGTGAGATTGGAATTTTTTGTTTATTTGCTTAAATAATTACTATAGGCAATACTTAAAATCTCCAGATCACGTAATGCCAGTGTGGTTATTATTAGAACTAGTAGGCTGATTTCAGCTGTTAGAATGCTCTCATTCTTTGTTGTAGGGTCTCATTCTAAACCTTGCAATACAACGTAATAAAAATGCAGAATGATGGAGCTAATCTGTTTCTAATTTCCTTGTGTTTTATTTTCTCATGCTTTGCACAATCTAGTTTTAAATAACCTTCGTCTTCCCTTTGGAGACTTTAATAAGTGAATAGAGTTAGTTAGAAAACATTCTTAATATCCAGCCAGAAATTCTTAATACTCCCTGGGACTGCTCACCCTCTGTTAGGAACATGTTGTTACTGATGTCTTTTCATCTACTTAATGGATATGATTGTAATTATATCATATTGCTTCATTTAAAAGTTTTCCCCATTCATTTACCTAGTTGGCTACAGGTCCAAAATATATGCCTTAGCCAGGAAATGTAAGTCAGGATGCTAAAACCAATAAAAGATCACTTCTGTATTTACAAAAATAAAGAAAACAAATAGGGAGCAGATGGGTATGTGTATAACTGCAGCATTATATATAAAATATAGATATATGTATCTTGGTGAATGGGTACACCCGACTCACAAAGCCAAAATCAGATCATTATATAAAAATACCCTTTAGGTACATTTCTACGTTATCCTATATTCACTTGGGTTTTTAAGACTCCCTCTGCTGGATAATTACTTCAGCATTTCCTGCCTTGAAACTAAATGATCTTCATGTGGCTAAATAACTCTGAAGACTTTGAATTCAGATTTGTATTCATAGGAATTTTAGGACAGAAGGCGATGTGTTACTCTGTTGATGCTGCATAAGTAGGTATGCTCTCCACCTAGTTCCTGTACAGAACAATTTATTTTTGAGAGAAAAGAACAGGGAAAAAAACCAACCCAGGACTTTAATCCCCAAATCTCCTTACTAGACCAGCGTAGATGACATTTTATATGCATTGAAGTATCCACTGAAGTCACAGATGTAAATGGGTGTACATCTCTAACAAAATGAACAGCTGGAAGAGATGGGATCATAAACTGTCTTTTGGCTGGCAGGGAAAAACAGTTTGCAATTTGAGTTTTGATGTTACCCTAGTGGATCAAATCTCTTCTAAACCCATTACAGACTCTAGTTTGCAAGTCATAAACCAGACTATATTGTCATTTATATTAGTTGTGGACTAGGAGTACAGAAATTAAGTGTGAAATTACTAAAACATTTGAGGCCACAGTTTCAAAAACTGTCACTCGTGTAAGAAAAGTTGGTTGTTTTGCACTGAAAGTGTGTGTTATCATTCTGCAAGTACTTGTTCACGTGCAAGGTGAAGGGAGACAATTGAATCATATACCTTGAAAATCTGGTCCTCTAAGTGCTACTAGGATTGCAAATTATATGATAGCCTGAGTATAGAGATTTTATTGTTGATAAAGGTTTGTACAGCCTATCTCATCATTAAATTTAAAAGGGGAAAACTTTGATACAGAGCCGGCGTTAAAGGACATGACTTTTATATAATATATTTATTATTTTTTCCTTTTGCTTTTTTTTTTTTCCAAGTGATTGCAACAGCAATAGGAACTCCATTGCCTCATTCACCAGCATTTGCAGCAGTCAGTGCAGTTCTTACTTTCACAGCGATGAAATGGACTCAGGTACGTTTAGAAGAGTCAGCTGTGAATCTGTCTTCTGTGCATTTTATTGTGTTTTATTCTTTTCACTGGCAGTCTTGTTGGTTTTGTTTTAAAAATTACATCCTGCTTGGTAGTGGAAGTGTTACCGTTTTGCTAGGGCTGCACTGGGAGTCCTAAATGTAAAAGAGATGTTCCAGCATCCCTGTAAATAGACTGAATTGGTTAGAGCTCTCAGAATCACTGCTTTTCCCCTCTGTCGTGCCTTTGCCTTGGTGGTAGGATAACGTTGCAGAGAGCAAGGAGCATTTTAGGTGAGTGTGGGACGTGCTCCCAGCCTGTGTCAGTGCCCAGACGGCGGGACACGGCTGCGTGTGTTTGCAGGAAGGAATGTGAGACCACATAGCAGCACATTTCTTGTTTATGCCATGACAAATTGGATTTAAATAAATGCAGCTGCTAATAGGAATGGGATGGGATTTAACTGCATGGGGTACAAGGTCAGATGCTCAGGGACTAACAGGAAAAAATATTTGCGCCAAGCTGGGAGTTTATCATTTGGGAATGATTTAGGAAAAGAAAGAACTGGGCATATTAGTTGAATATAAGCTACTTAATGAGAAGAAATTCTTTGCTGTGAGGGTGGTGAGACACTGGAAGAGGTTGCCCAGAGAAGCTGTGGCTGCCCCATCCCTGGAGGGGTTCAAGGCCAGGCTGGATGGGGCTTGGAGCAACCTGGTCTGGTGGGAGGTGTCCCTGCCCAGGGCAGGGGGTTGGAACTGGATGATCTTTAAGGTTCCTTCCAATCCAAACCATCCCATGGTTCTATGATTCTGTGACATGGCCATAAAGAAGGCAAATTTTATAGCTGTTTGTACCAGGAACAGTATCTTGAATTGGGACAGGAAAGTATTAATGACATTTTGCAAGGTAACTGAGATACCTTGTGAATGATGCAATTCTAGGCAGGTGCTTTCTAGAGGTGATACATGCTTAAGGAGCTGAGCAGATACAGAGGAGAGGATGAAAACCGGATAGAACTCTTAATAAAAGAGGAGACCCAGGGTCTGTATCTTCAACTTAAGATATATGCAGGCTGGTATGCACTTGTGCAGCATCAAGCTGAGGTACCAACTGAGGTGCCTGATACAGTGTTCACATTGATAAATACTGCTGCTCAGTGAAGCTCCCACTCTCCTGCTGAGTTAAATTTTCTCCTAGTTTCAAAACTCACCTGGCTGACTCCAGATCAGGGCTCTTTGGCACTCTGCTCCATCTGTTGCAATTAAAATCCTGTGAAAGGTTGTAACTACAGGCTTTACGGACATCTAAAGGAGCTAAAAAAAAAATCAAGGAGAGAAAAGTGCTATTTAAGTGTTTCACTGACATAAGAAAAATGAGTCTAGATTGACCATGAATACATTTGGATTATAAATTATCAAGTGGCTACTTCTTATCTGTCAGTGCAGCAGCAAGGAGGAAAAACAGTTTTAAGCTCAATTTTTCACTGCTTTTGAAAGTTCAGGTTGCATCACTCGTTGTCTGAGAAAGCGAGTGACCGAGGAGCAGTGACACAGGAGAGTCCTTCTCCTTCATACTCTCTTAGGAAATGATGTGGTGTGTACCTACTAAAAGCTTCATAGCACATACAGGATTTGGAAGCTGTATTTTTGTTGAATTACTAAAATCTCAGAACCATTTAATTATTAAGAACATTAAGATTGTCAATTGTCTGTAGAGTCCCTATATAAATTTGATGGTGGATACATTTCAGTGGCTTTGTGGTTTGCTGTATTATGTTCACATTACTGAGCCATTTAGTCTGGTGTGTAGGATGTTCTCCAGCATGGAAGAATTGTTTGTTCTGGTCAAAGAATAACTGAGGTTTGAAGGGGCCTCTTGAGTTGTCCAGTCCAATCCACTACTTGAGGAGACTCATCTGGAGCAGGTTGTCCAGGACCTTGTCCAGTTGGGTTTTGAAAGTGGTCCTTCCTTTAAGAGCTCTTTCTGTGTTAACAAGTGACTACTAAATGCAAAATATGTAGGGAGAACAGTTACTGAAAATAATCCTGAAAGCCTAAGCATCAGTCTGTGTGCAGAACAGATTATCTAAAATACAAACACGTTGGAAAATACAGTGAAAATTCTAAACAATTTTTCATTTTAAAATGTTTTTTTCAGGTGATGAGCTTCCCATAAGTGTTCGAATCTCCCACGATAAACAGGACAAGCTCCATAGCTGTTTGGAGCATCTTTTTGGTCAAGTATGAGATGATTTTTCTTGGCTTTGATACTAAAGTCCACGTTTGAGCTAAGATGTCTTTAGCAAATACTTCTTTTTCTTTTTACTTTTGCTTTCCACTGTTTACTGGGCTGGTATGTATTTACTCATTCTCCTTAAGTTTTCTGTAAATACTTCAAAACTGCAAGTTAAACATGTCCTTAGGTTTAGTCTAACATTCCCTGGCTTGCTACTTTAACTTGAGCCATTAATTAAGAACGAATCGAAAGCTGCTTGTCTGTAGTCTATATTCCTTAAAGAAAGGATTTCTAATCGTTGCTGTAAAAAAAAAAAAAAATGTCTTTCTCACAGAACCTTGATCCCAACAGGTTGATTCAATTGTCAATCTTCTGAAAGGACCAGCTGTGATGAGGGCCTTTGAGCAGACGAAATACTTTACACCAGGTCGAGGCCTCCAAGGTAACGTTTGATTCTGTCTATGAGAATCAAAGGGCAGCTTGAAGGGTACATGGATATGGGTATCTACTCCTTGAGCTGGGTGTAAAAGAACTGACTTTGCTTAATCTTGGCGTGTTCTGCAAGAATTGATTGTTGAAGCACCAAAGTTGAATCTGTTCTTGGGTGAAAACTGGCTTCTTACACTTCTATTCCACAATGTATGAAAGGATGTCAGGTTTGTTGGGAAGTCAGCTTTAAAGTGTAGACTCTGGACTGACTATAGAATTGCTGAGGTTTCTGAGGCAAGAAACAGGCTTTGTGTATTCCAGGTGCTTTTATTACATTTTTGTCTCAACTACTGAAGCCATTTCTGATCTATTTTATTACGAAAGCCAGATTTTAATTGGTTTTTGTAGAACTATTATTTGTGAAGTTGATTTATAAATAATTTGCAAATGTAAATTTATAGTCACAGTAATATTTATGGCAAATATATTCTTATATAAGTATTACTGATTATATAAAAAATCTGCATGTAATTTCAGATACTCTGCTAACACTTGCATAGTTGCTTAAGTCTAAGTGTATAAATAGGTCTTTGTTGGTAGCCATAAGACTGTGAAAAATGCAAAGGTCTTATTTTTTAAAATGAGTTTTTAAAGGAAAAAAAGCTCAATCAGAGACTGGATATTATATTAATATTTATAATAGGTTTGATCATGATTTTATTGATCCTGCATATGTTTTTTGGCAAAGAAAACTGATTTTACAAGGCCAGAAGGTGGATCTTTAGCTTTTATAAATCACCAAAATCCCACTGAAGTCAACAGAGCATAGTTACTGTGCATTGATTATCTGGTTTTACAGAGCTTGAAGTACTTCTCCCTCATTGAATTTACAAAGTCCACAAACCTCCCTTTTTCCCTTTTTTTCCTACTTTTCCCTTTTTTTTTTTTCCCCCTTTCCCTTTTTCCCTTTTTTCTCCTTTTTTCTCTCTCCCTCTCCTGTTTTTCTTTTTTTTTCCTGCTTTGAGACCAAGATAATGGGGATAAACCTAGAGCATTTCTGCTTGCTTCTGTTTCTGGTGTTTCAGATTGAGTACCTGGCAGGCTCACCCCCTTTCCCCTTTTCCCTTTTTTTCCCCTTTTTTCTCTCTTCCTCTCCTGTTTTCTTTTTTTTCCTGCTTTGAAACCAAGATAATGGGAATAAACCTAGAGCATTTCTGCTTTCTTGTGTTTCCGGTGTTTCAGATTGAGTACCTGGCAGGCTCACACAACAAAAGGTTATTCCTTCAGTGGTACAATAAACGTTCAGCTAAATGCAAGATATGGACAAGTCAGATATTTTATTCTTGATCTGCATCATCATCTTGAACGGTAGAAGGAGCACTTCAGTGATTTGAAAGATAGACTAGGTTAAGCAATAAGTAATTTTTTTTTTATTTTCTAATTTAATTAATTTTGCCTCCAAAAGTTCCAGACTCCTGCTTCCTCCATGGAGTCAGGCACCTTCTATCTTTTGTACCTGATACAGAAAGAATCATGTTTGGGGATGCTGCTCTCTCTCTCCTTTGACTAATTAGGGAGCTTAGATGACTGTTAGCCCTGTCACCCAGGCTTTAACTAGAGTTAAATAAGTTCATACTGCCTTGAGCTGTGAAAATATTGAGGAAGAAATAATGTCTTACTTGCGGCTTCCTTAGGAGGTTTAAGCAGAAAAAGAGTATTTTTGTCCTCGCTTAGAATTTCAGCAGGAAATGGAACCGAAGCTTAACTGTCCAAAGAGGCTACGACTCCACATCAAGCAAGACCCTTGGAACCTCCCCAGCAGCGTCCGGGGCCTTGCCCAGAACATCAGAAAATTTGTTGAAGGTTAGTAGGAACAGCATGACCGCCTCTTCTCCCAAAGGACGAACGACAAGACCAGAGGAAATGGTCTGAAGTTGGGGCAGGGGAGATTTAGATTAGATATTAGAAAGAATTACTTTCCTGAGAGAGTGGTCAGGCACTGGAACAGCCTGCCCAGGGAGGTGGTGGAGTCACCATCCCTGGAGGGATTTAAGAAACGTATAGACATGGCTCTTCAGGGCATGCTCTAGTGCCCAAGGTTATTGGTTTATGGTGAGGTGTTGAGTGTGGGGTTTAGTTGGTGGGTGTGGTGTTTTTGGTGGGCGTTTGGTGTGGTGTGTTTTGTATTTGTTTGGTTGTTGTTTGTTTTGTTGTTGGTTTTTTTTGTTTTTGGTTTTTTTTTTGTGGTTGGACTCGATGATCTCAGAGGTCCCTTCCAACCACTAAGATTCTGTGATTCTGTGATATGCTGTACGTGCTACGTTGTTTCAGTTGCTGCTGAAGTCTGATGGGCTTGACTGATTTGTCACAGAACTTCATGGGGCTGATACACCAAAATGGGGCAAACTCCCTTTTTTTCTGCCATCGTAAATGGAAAGATGAAGACTCTGCAGGACAGCTTTTGTCTTAGATCTTGCTCTTACTTGTCATTGATCTGAAATCATTATCCCTCTAAAATCATGCTCCCTCTTCTGAGGGGGACCAAACCTCGGCCACTGGTTTTCACTTACTCCATCACAACTGATCCTATTATTCTTCCTCCTCCACCTCCCTTCCACCACTAACAGTTACCTAGTACTCTGCTCCTCTTCACCACCAGGTAACAATGTGAGCTGGGTTTTTCTGCTCCCTCTTTCTTCATACCTATCCAGAAAATCTTGCTTGTATCTTCTGCTTTATTTCCTGGGCTGTTTTATAAGGAACAGAATCATAGAACGGTTTGGGTTGGAAGGAACCTTAAAGATCATTGTGTTCCACCTGCCCTGGGCAGGGACACCTCCCACCAGACCAGGTTGCTCCAAGCCCCATCCAGCCTGGCCTTGAACACTTCCAGGGATGGAAATAATGAGCAAAAATATTTTTGTAAAACTACTTGCCCTAGGAGTCTACGTGGGAACGAAAACTTTTGTTAGGTCTATCTTTAAATGATTTGTGTGTGTGTGTGTGTTTAGCTTCTTTTCTTTTGTTGGCTGATTTCCATGGTGTCCCGTAAAGAAACTGCTACATTTCAGATCACTGGAAAAGAACTTTCTGATAAGTTTTATGAAGATAAACCTCCGAAATCCAACCAGCCAAACCAAACAAACTCCTCCTCCGACTTTTGGTTTCTCATTTCAGATACAATCATATTTTCAGACCCTGGGTTAGAAAATTATAAAAACAACAGAAAAAATGTCTCCTATTTTTGGAGTCAATCACAGTGGGTTGACTCTCGAATACTAAGAATACCTCCTTTAGTTTAATGGTGGCTGTCACTGGGTGAAAAATGAATAAATGTTTTGGATTTTTTTTCTACAGACCTATCTTCAGCCTAAACCAAATTATATTCAAGTATTAATCATGGTTTCTTTCGCAGTTCAGGAGGAATGGAAATGTGTCTTTAACAGCCCTTTATTGCTCTCCTTTCAGAAGCCAAGCCTAGCAGACCATTTTCACATAACTTGTTTGCTCATAAATAGAATTAATAGACTTAACCCGTTTTGACATTGGTCATATGCCATTAATATTGAGCTCAGGTTATTCAGATAAATTTGGTTTTAAATCTACCACAAAATTTCAGTTCAGCAAGGTCCAAATGACTCCCTGCCTCTCTATAATAAAAATCTCTTGTTACAAAACTACTATATGTTTACAGAACAATAATACTGGTGGCATTTTGTAATGTTTTAAAAATTAGGATTAAAACTAGGTTTTCTCTGTTAATAAATTATAGTAGTAACTTCATTGAAACTATGGTGCTTGTGAATGGTGCATGGTCAGACAGCTAAATAGTAAAAGGCATTATTCTGTGGTTCAAGGAGATCACGTGCTCTGCCTTACTTTCTCTCATCACCGTGTCTCAGAAGTTGTCTGCCCACTTTAAATATTCTTGGCTCTCCCTTTTCGTCCATGGCATCTGGGCTTTTGTCAGAGATTTCCAACAACTGGCTTCTCTGCCATCTTCCTTACCAAATATATGTAAAGTTACCATCTTACGATGTTTATTCACCATCAGTCCTTACATATTTCTATTTTCTTGTAGTTTTTCTTTTTTTTCCTTTAATTTGATTCCTTTTCCACCCTCTGCTCCCCAAACTGGTATCACTAATACTTGTTCCTGAGAGGGAACACCAAGGAGTTGGTGTGATGTAAAGGGTACCCAAAAGCCTTGTGGCTTCCCTGACACAAATGGCATGAAGGAGAAATAGGAGAACGGAACTGAAGAATTGCTTCTCAAGCCTTAGTTTCCAAGGCATGTCTGGACAGGTATATATAATTCAGTGTTGAAAAGATTCATGGCAAAAATGTGCCCCTCAGGCAGTTTTGGGAGACTGCTGTGATTTAAACAGGCTTAGGCCTGTATAAATTAAACTTAAGACACAACCAGCAGATGGATCAAACTGAAATCAGATGAGCACGATGCAGGGTTAATAATGCTTTAGCAGCTCAATTTTCTCTTCGTATCTTGTTTTCTCCTTTCCAATCTTGCTGTTATGCATTGTGTTCACAAATGGTCAGGATATCTAGAAGAACCACTAGTATCACCCTGAGCTATTTCTGGTGAAAACCTAACAAGTAGTACAGCAATTTACCTCCCTGTTTCCCCTCTTATTCACTTGATTCAGAAAAAAATGAAAGATGTCCCTAAATTGAGTGCTTAGTTGGGCTTATGAGGACAAGTTGAACAAATTCTTGGGATTTTAGAAGAACCACCTTTTTTTTTTTTTTAAGTAAAAGGCAGTATTTTAATAACTGAGGAAAGCAGATATAGTTGTCTCTTCCAGCAGGTTCTAGAGGAATTAGTCATACAAGATCACTGATACAATTTTGTTCACCATGGGGAAAAAAATTGTAATTAAAACCTCCAGTTATTAAAAACATTCTTAACCATTATTGATGAAGGCTGAAGCACGGATGAATGCTTTCAGTAAATGCATCTCCTTATTGAAAACTGACATATTTTTATTTTCATAAAAATACCACAGGCTATTGTAATTTTTTATGTCTTGTTCTGTTGCATTGTAGAACATGTATTAGTTTAGACTGATTAGTGCTTTGAAGCAGAAGGAGACATGGGAGCCCCATAAGAATGAGATGGTTTAAGTCATAGATCTTAGGATTCTTTTTATTTATTTTGTTTAATAAGTATGAAGAAACAGGCAAACTCAGAATGCCTTGAGGATGATCGTTCTGGTCTGTCAGTTTTCTTTTTATTAGTATTGGAATTGGGAGAGCAATTTTAAAAAAAGAATTACGAAGGTTTGCACAGATTACAAAAACCAGAAAAAAAACAACCAAACCTTCCTTGGCAGTAAATTTAAAACATATGTGGAGTTTGTTTTGTCTCATTTCATTTGTCCTACCATATCATTAGAGAAAGCCCTGGAAGGCTAATTGAATTGATAGATTTGAAGAGTTCTCTGAAATAGTATACAGATTCTAGGAGGATTTATCTGGACCTAAGTAACTAAAGAAAAGATGAAAGTAATTTCTTAGAGTGACTGGGCCTACTAAATTGTTAAATCAATAAAGATAAAGATAAGTTACTGGCAGAGGGAGATCTTTGAAGATGGAGTGCTTGATTTTGCTGGAGGAAAGATCACTAGTCAAGGCAGGAATTCAATGGTCACTGTAAGGAGAAGAAGTAATGTAGGTACAGGATTTTGGATATACATGAGATATTAACATGGGAATCAGGAAAATCAACAAGATGGATGAAAAAAAAGGATACTTCAGAAGGAAGGCAAAACCAAAACTGGCCAGCATAACAACAGAAAGGCGTAAAAAGAGAAAAGATGAGGAGAAATTTCTGTAGTTGCTTTTTCCCAAAGAAAAAAAACATAAGATTTTTTTGGTCACAAGAAGTGATGTTTCAGAATGTCACATGAGCTGGTCACATGAGGAAGTGCAGTTGTTTTGCTAGCACAATAATTTTAAGTTTATACAGGATATACTATGGAATTGAGAAAGTCGCCATGTATTTTAATTAAAATTCGGATGAGTGAAGGAGCATTTCCATCATTAAAGGCATAAAAAATGTATTTAAACTTAAATCATAAAATATTCAGTACAGATTTCAATCTTATTTCAAAAATATTTTCAGATGCGAGAAACAAAGTAAAAATAAAATCTGCCCTTTACTGGCAAAGATTAGAATATCATACTATGAGAAAAAAAAAGGTACAAATGAATTAAAGAATAAAAGAAATTGAAGGCATCTTGCATAACAAATCACATGCTCTAAAGAGGAATTCCTGGGGACTTACCCCTTTCTGTACACTGTGTAGCATGAAGAGGTGAAAACTTACAGTAGCATTTGGAATTTGTTGAAAAGCAAATGGTTGACATCCAGTGTTCTCTTCTAACCCCAGGTAAGTCTCTACTTATACAAATAACCTAAAAATACTCTCTTGCCTGTGGGTATTTTTTGGGAAGGAGAAGACTTGTAGCAATGATAAAGAAGATTTGCAGCATCCTGTAATTTTCCCATAAGCAGGAAATCATTATTTATAGATACCTCAAATGCTTCTGAATTCAGAGATCCAACAAATCTTTATAAAACAAGCTGCAAGTAATAGCCTCAATGTATCTAAATTTTTCACATAAAAGCTGTATTTCCCCATATTGTTCAGGCTCCAAGATGCCAAGTTGTTAATGTCTGGAAGTTTGTGGGTTGTTTTTTTCTTTTTTCAAAAGACAGAAAGCTAAGGCAAAGACCTATCACCAGGCTATTTTCAAGAATAACCCGTAATTTTGAGTGTTTTGATGCTTGTATTTGAGATACCGTGGGCATGCATTTCAGAAGCGTAGGCACTGCCAGTTCTTTTTGCAATATGTACACAGCACGGATAAAGATCAGGCTTGAAAGGTTTTCTTCTTTTTTAAGCATAGTCCCCTTTGGGGGGAAGATTCTAGCTTTTCATAGGTACTTTCAAGTACACACAGACTGGAGACTGTGCTGCTGATACAGTCAACTCCAATGTCAGTTCTGTCATCTGAGTTGTATTCAAATTTCAAATAATTCAAATTTCAAACCTATCAGGTTAATTTTAGCAGGGGGCCAATATATTCCCAAGTTGTCCTATTGTGGATATGCCCCATTGCAGCTCTGCTGGTCCATTAAGCAGGGCTTGGAATAGGACTGCCCAGAAAATTGGACGTATGAAGGAAACATATCCAGGTGGGTTTTGAATGTCTCCAGAGAGGTGGTGGAGTCTCCTTCTCTGGAGACGTTCCAGACTGGCCTGGACACGTTCCTGTGCAACCTGCTCTGGGTGACCTGCTTTGGTAGGGGGGTTGGACTAGATGATCTCCAGAGGTCCCTTCCAACCCCATGTGATTCTGTGAAACTTCGGAAAGATGCAAAAGCATGGGAAGTAGCAGCGTGCTCGTATAGGCAGGTGCCATAGGACAACTGATGTCCTGGAAGTTTGACACTCTCTAAAGTAATGGCAGCTTTTTAATCTGCCTGTTCCTTGCAGTGGCAGTTAACACATTTAAATCTGTGCTCTGGTACGTGGTAGAGGAAAAGAATCCCTGTCTGTAGCCTGCAAACTTGGAGAAGAGCTCCCCACCAAAAAAAAAAGAAGAAAAAAAAGCCCTACCCCAGTGTAAAGAGATATAAAACCAATTTTTTGGCTGTAAAATGAAGATTTTTCTTTTTAATCTGTGCTTTTTCACTTCATAGATTGGGAAATGAAAAGAAATGTTTGAAGCAAAATAAAATCCTGAAGGCTGAGAATAAAATGAAAATGCTGTTGTGTTTTTCCTGGATGTTTTGGTATACATTAAAATGAGGATAATTTGAGATTTTTAAGTATGGAATGAGAAGTTGGGGGGGGGGGAAGGAAGGGGGAAGAAAAAGAAAAAATTAGGGTAGTGTGGGAATCGGTGAAAACTGGTCTTGTTTTTCAAAGTTTTAAGACTGGAATTCTTCACACATGGACTTGCCCTGTACGGCTGGTACACGGGCACTCTGAGATCACAGCTGACTTTTCACACGTCTTTCTCAACATTGATGATTTGGAATATTATCAATTTTATCATGTCATATCTAAAATTAAGTGAAGTTGAGACTCTTTACTATTTTGTAGGTATTAATCAGGATTTGCCCACACAAGAAGTTTGAGTTAAGCTGGTATAAAATGAGAAACTGCAAATGCATTATTATGTTGGTGAAAACACTGTTAACCATGACCTCAATGTATTTTCTTTTTTCTTTAAGAGGTGAAGGCACGAATACTTTTGGCACTTCTTGAGTATACAGGTAATTTTGCTTGTTTTGGGAGTTGGGGAAGTGAACATGGATGGTTTCAGATTTTTTATATTTTTTTTTCTTTTGGACAGCACACTGTGTTTATAGAAAATTCTCAGATGCAATAACCTGATAATCAACAACTTTACCCCTGTGTTTAAAGTGAGGATTCCTGAAGAATGCAACAATTCCAAAGACATTTCTAACAAACATTGCACATCACTGCACATTCTTTCTTTTTTTTTTTTTTTTTTTTTTAATGCAGGCTACCTCCTCTGGTCATTTACTTTGGATCTTTGCAGATGAAGTAACTGCTAAATCACTGAGCTTGTGTTTCTTTTTCTGGCCTTTTTCCTATTTGCCATCTTTTTTTTTTTTTCTTTTAATTCCAATCTATTTCCAGACTTACCTTACTATTCTAACCCATAGGTTTCCTTTTATCTTTTCTTTAAAGAATACCTTTTTTTTTTTTTTAAGTCCTTCCTTTTTGGAAAGAGTCTGATTATTGTGTGTATTATCCTACCATCACACCATACAGCTTCAAATACACAAAATAGGCGTGTGTCTGCAAAATAAATGCCAGTAAATCAGTATTTAGGATATAGTACTTATTGCAGAAGATTCTGTACGATTTGTAGGTGCATAAGTGAGTAAGCAGCCATATTTGACTGTAAAAGCTGATTATTTTAACCATCTTGCAGGACTATATGAATGCATTATTATTTTGTGATTTTGTTGACAAATAACAGCAGTTTTAGAAAGGGAAATGCAACATTTCTTTGTTGTCAGATTTCTTCCAAATGTTATAAAAGTTTTTATTAATTCCTTGTGAGTTTTAAAATAGGAAGTGACCTGAGAAAACACCCCAGACTTGATTTTTTTTTTTTTAAAAGCAGATTTCCCTATTTACATGATTTCTTAAGTTCATAAATTCTGTAGTTTATTTTGTATAAAAATCTTTTTGTATGCAGTATCTGATGTTCAAGTAGTATGAAATGAGATTTGGAAATGAGGTGCTGGAGACATGAGAGGGGGCTGCTTCAGAAGCCCCTGCTTCAGGCAGGGCAGAGGAAGGCACCAAAAATCAGCTGCTGTTAGACAAACAGAGAGAAAATGGAGCAAAGCGAGGAGAGAGAACGTGTGCTGGGCTCAAACCCCTGAGCACTGCAGTGACATTGGAAAGATTTTGGCCATGGAGAAGCCAGTGGGATTTTTGAAGCTGGAAATGGGTAGAGTTTTTAAAGGTGAAAACTTCCATCTTTACTGGATTCTGCACAACTTGAGAGATTGGAAAGAGAGTGAGAGAGGCTAATTTTAATAATGAAAACAAAAAGCACTGAGTCACAGTGCAGAAGCAGTACTGATTAGACCATTTATGGAAAACATTCCTGAGTTCCTGAGAGACTGACAAATGGAATCAAAATGACAGTAAAAGAAGGGTCGCTATTATCAATAGTCAAGGAAAAGAGACTGAAGAAGATCTCAGAAGGAAAACAGATAGAATGGAGTTACTTTGAGAAATGCTTGGAGTCCGACAAAAGCAATTTTTAAAAGTCATTATTAATTTTGTGAATACAGAATTATTTCTCCTGACTTACCCAGTCATCTGAAGTCTTGCCAGCTCCATGGAGAAGGTGGAAAAGGAGCTAAGCCTCTTAGAGGCAGAGGAATATAAAGAAATCTAAAAAGATTTTTAGGCTTCAGGAAGACCTCAGTATCACCTAATCTTCTCCTTCTCTGAGAAAGATTAAGTCTACCTGTACCATTTGTGATTGATGTTTGCCTAACAGCTCATAATGACAAAGTACTCGAAGACCTTCAGAGAAGAGGAGAGAAAGGAAGCACTGAATATTTATCACCACAATTTTGTGCTTTATTGAGAACATATTTCTCTTTCTAACTCTTTTGACCTTTAGCTAATCTAATGCCTGTGCCCTCCAGAATAAATTGGTAGGTTAGCTAGTCCCTAATTTTAATCAGCTGCTAATGTTTCCACAGACTTCTACCTAGGGAACTGTCCTGGACTTTCCTGACACCATAAATCTCTGCTGCTTCCTGCATATGTGATGCTGCTCTGTGCTTATTTTATAGATGTCATATTCATATATATGTATATATATATTATTTGGATGGATTGTGTTCTGTTAGCAAAAGTCCTATATGCCCTGTCTGCACTTCACAGCAGTCTTCATGTGCCCTGCCCAGCTGGAAGCTGTGGAGCTGATCAGATGATTCAGTCACAATAAGAGCTTCTGATCATCCTTGCTTTCCTGTGCCCAGCTGGTTCTCACATTGCAACAGAGAGACCTGACTCTCATCCTTCATCTTGTAACATCAAAAGTACATAGAATTGGTGGCATGTACATTAAAATCTACAAGATAAACAGACGTTGTTTATGAAGAAATAATTTAAATTCCAGATTTTAAATGCATTTCTATATAATTTTAAAAATATAAAATAATCCTTTATTGTGGGAGATGGCAGTTTTGGTTATAGAATGCTATTTACTGGGTATTACATTATGCTGTAAACCTGTAATTTACCTTGCATTAAAATGACTTGGGTTTTAGACCCAGAGTTTTTTTTAGAAAAAAAAAATAAATTCCTTTGCTGTTAATTAATCTCCTGCTCCACTTTTGCTTTTCCTCTTTTGACTTTTACCCATCACAGACAGCGAGATACAACTGAGGAGAGACATGGTCTTCTGTCAGAGCCTGGTGGCCACGGTCTGCGCTTTTTCAGAGCAACTAATGGTGGCCTTAAATCAGATGTTTGACAACAACAAAGAGTATGAAATGGAGACACTGGAGGCCAGCAGAAGGTGGTTGGAACAGATAGCCAGTGCGGGTCTTCTCCTTCATTTCCAGTCCCTGCTCTCACCGAACTTGGTAAGACACAACGTGTGGCACCTGTGGTCACAGCCTGTGTTTGTTCCCTGGACACCCCTATAAATGTCATTTTCTGTGTCCTTTGTGCTCAGCTTGTTGCTTAATAGGCTGCTATTCGGAAAGTTTGCGTTTTAGATAATTACAGATAGGCAAAATGTTGGTTTGTGATCTGGGAAATATGTTTCCCACAAAGACAGTGTTATGTTTGGTTTGAGTTAGCAGATAGTGAGTTTACCCTTGACTCCCCGCTGCTATCATAGCTGTTCCCTAGGAGCAAATGTAGCATTAGGCAATGACCAGAGCTTCACTTTGCCATAAACAGCAATGCAAGATAAATAAAATACCTGATTTGAATAATTTTATCACCCCGTCTCCCCCAAAGTAATAGGTCTGTAGCAGTTGGAGGACTAGACGTGCTGGTTTGTTTTGCTCCTGTCGTAGGGCAAGTCCTCAAAGCCTGTCAGGGAAACTGGAAATCTGCTATTTCTTCACAAGGCTTGGCAGAGAGCCATGGCTTAAGAAACAATTAAAAAAGGGATGTGATTTTGTAGTCCTCTAATCCCCAGTTATCCCAAGTGCTGCTTCAGCTATTTAAGCTGCTTCCCACACTAGACTGGTTCCTGCCAACCTGAAGAACTGTGAGGCAGTCTGTGCGGTCTGCTCCGTCTCAGTCTTCTCAATCTCTGGAGCTGCTGTCTGAAAATAATTGATTTGGTACCTCCTACTGATGTAAAAGTCCACACAAATAGCAGACGGTGTTCCTAGTATCAAAGCTATTCTTGCCTTGCCTTGTCTGTCTTGGCAGCAAATTGCTGACAAGTTGACCTGGTAAACTTTAGAAGCAGAAGAGATCAATAAAAATAAGGGCATTTCTAAATGACAATCATGAGGTGTTAGTCTTTGGTATTGCTGGAGAGCATTGACTTGAGTTGGTGTGAGCGACTACCTCACAGGTAGTTGAGTTACCTGCGTGGGTTTGTGTGGGACAGGGTACATTGGGATGAGGTGTGCAGCTTAAAAACAGATAAAGTCAGTGCCTGAGGGAATCATAGAATAGTTTGGGTTAGAAGGGACCTTAAAGCCCATCCAGTTCCAACCCCCTGCCCTGGGCAGGGACACCTCCCACCAGACCAGGCTGCTCCAAGCCCCATCCAGCCTGGCCTTGAACCCCTCCAGGGATGGGGCAGCCACAGCTTCTCTGGGCAACCTCTTCCAGGGTCTCACCACCCTCACAGCAAAGAATTTCTTCCTGAGATCTCATCTAAATCTCCCCTCTTTCAGTTTAAAACCATTACCCCTCGTCCTATGGCTCCCCTCCCTGAGCAAGAGTCCCTCCCCACCTCTCCTTGAGCCCCTTTAGGTACTGGAAGGGGCACTAAGGTCTCTTCAGAGCCTTCTCTTTTCCAGGTTGAGAAACAGGAGGGCTCTTTATCCACATGAGGAGTATGTGAAGGGCACTAAAGTCTCCTCAGAGCCTTCTGTTCTCCAGGTTGAGAAATACGAAGGCTCTTTATCCACATGAGGAGTATGTGAAGAAAGCATGGTCAGGGGAGTTTGGGCTCATGTCTTGAGTCTTGCATGCTTTTTGGCACCATGCAGCACCAACATGTCCTGGTGCAGGAGTCCTCAGAGTTCAAGAGTAAATTCAGTTGGTGCCTGTCTTGTGTTTTTCCACGTGCTTAGTTGTCATGTTATCACAAAATAACTGTTGTCTTTACAGCACTCAATACTTCTGGGTTTTTTTCTTTAAAGATTGTAGAGATTTCCTTTGTAGTGAAAATGCATGCTACATAGCTGTTTTCACGTAATCAGATACCAGGAGTATGTATTCTCCAATTGAAAATAAAATTAAATTTAGTCTCTTCTGTGTAACTGTTCTTAACCAAGGGAAAAGTATTTATAGGCAACTTTTTCAATACCTTCTCAGCACTATTTTGCTTACAAATGATCCGTGTTATTTTAAACAAGGGTATTTGAAGGAAATTACACTCATTATGGCCCGAGTTCGGTAAAGAATGAGCAGTTGTGCAAAGATTTCCCATGTCACTGAATGGTTTTCAGACTATTCTGCTGATAAAACTGCTCTGTCCATAGGGACTTCCTAAAATGAGCCAGGAGACAAAATATTTCTAGCAGCTTTGCTTTTTCATAAGTACAAGGGGGATTGCTATTTCACTGATCAGGGAAAATAATAGGGTGGTGCTTTTTTTTTTTTTTCCTTTCTATAATTCAGTAAGCTACAGTTTATTCTCACTTTATAGGCAGCTAGTTTATTATTCTTTGCCTTCCTACTATTTCTGTTCTTAGAGGAGGAAAAATGCATGCCTTAGGTTTCCATTTGGCTCCTGCTAACTTAAGGTGCTAGGGGAGGGTTGTATAAAGAATAGAATTACTTCAAGTTATTATCGATTTCTGCTGTAATTGCTCTGCATATTTAACTCAAGATAACTGTACTTATAGATGACTATTTTCCTTTTTTTAAAGGTTCAGTTCCTGAGACGTTAGTAATTTACTTCTTGGTGCTTTTTTGGTAGATTAGTCTGCATCTCTTCAGCTATCTCTTTAGCTCAGGAGTACCCAGAGTGAATCATAGGTGCAAATCCAAATATTGGCATATCTACAGACTTGATTTGCATCTAGAGTTTTGTAGATGAAGGTGCAAATCACCCTGAGCTGTACTCGTTCTGAGCTACTGGTTCAATTATTGGTGCTTAGAGTGGACACAATGAACTCTCAGCTGTTGTTTACAAATGAAATGCTAAAGTTGCGGCATTTTTTTAAAGAAAACTGCTAAAAAGAAGAATTTGGCTTTCACATTTCCCCTCTGTTAATTTACAAGCTAGACCTGGTGTAAAGACAAGCTCTTGAAATCTAGTATCTTACATGAAGAATAATTACAGTATTGTTTGATTAAAAGCCTTGAGAAGTAATGGCAGCTATAAATTACCTATTAATTTACTATGTGAAATGATAACATTCATTTTAATAATCTTGGACTAGTAATAAAAGGGAAGAATGCCAATAGAAACAAAGATATTTACATTATCTAGGAGTTAATTAGTTTATACACTGCACATTTCACTACACAGTAAAATGTTGTGCAGCATTCTGTAGTTACTTTTATGTCCTGCTCTCGTGTTATTTCTGATAGGGAAAACATCTGGCTGAAATGACCATTTCACTTTTTCTTTTGCCTTTTTTAGGCTGATGAGCAAGCCATGCTAGAAGATACGTTGGTTGCACTGTTTGACTTGGAAAAAGTTACTTTTTACTTCAGACAATCAGAGCCAGAACCACTAGTTGCGAGTGAGTAATTATTATTATTAATAACTGGGCTTTGCAGGAACATTTTCTGTACTTGTAACATTTTTTCTCTCCTAGAACATTTCCTCTCACAGGGAATATTATATAATTTGGGATTATGGAGAATTTGTAGATATGTAGCTCTCCTGATATTCCTAGATTTCCTGAAACACAGCTAACATCAGTGACAATGCAGAATCACTGTCTGGCAACAACCCTGGGGGCAAAACTGTTTGCTTAACCAGATTTTCCATTGGGAGTATGTGACTGCATCAGGAAAGTCCCTGGAAGATCTCGTTGTTATTGAGTCAAGTGTAAAATAAACTTGAAGGACTTAATAGAGAAGTGCAACTGGGATGAGATGGAGAGGTATAAAAACCATTTCGTTTTGTCGTCTGAAAGACAAAGCGGATCTTGGAAGAGTTCTTTGAAAGGAGATGGTGAACACTATTAGGAGAGCTTTAAATTGTGCAAGAAACTTCCTTAGAGACCTGCTGGTGCAGACAATCAGGGTCATGAACCCTCCCACCCAGTACTCGCCCAGCTCGCAGGAAGGGACTGCCAGTTGCAGTCTGTGGTTTGTACCCTTTGCTCATTTTCAGCCACTCCTTTATTAATATGTTTTCAGCCAGTAGAAATTTTCCTCCAGTGAGCAAAAAGCCCTCTTTTTTTTTTTTTTTCCTAAGTCTCATAACTCCCCAGGGAAGGGAGGAAGCCATGTCTGCTTCACATCAGGCATTTCTAAAACAATTCCCTTGCCAGATTGAGACCACACGTGAGAGAACTTCTGCAATAACCAAAACCAGAAGACACAAAGCTCCTCCACAAAGCTGCCCGTGCTCCAAAGAATTCGGTAGCACGGGGCTGGTAGTCAGGCAGGAATTAGCCTATGTAAGACCACTTTATTTCTGTATAATCGAAATATAAAATTCAACATGGAACTGGAGTTACAGGAGAGACTCCTGATGGGGAGTTAACCCTATGACTATGTCATGAACTGTTCACATTTTTGTTATCTTCCAGCTGAGGTGTCTGTGCTAAAACAGAGATAAATGCAAAGTCCTCGTGTTCTAGGATGGTTACAAACTCCATATTTCCTTCTGGTTTAAGTGCAGCCATCACAGTCATCCTGACTGTGGTTACAGAAGACAAGGAGCTGACAAATTTGATTTTCCCATTTGATTCTGTATAATCAATAAAAGAAAAGAATAGTCTTTTTACCAAAAATAGTGAAAAATGGTCCTTTGGACTCTTTTCCATTTAGGTATAAAATAATTTATGCACACTGTGTAACAAAGAAAAGAATAGTCTTTTACTTTTTACCAAAAATAGTGAAAAATGGTCCTTTGGACTCTTTTCCATTTAGGTATAAAATAATTTATGCACACTGTGTAAAAAAACTAAGTATTTATGCTATTAATACAAATCACTAAATTTCATTGTTCCTGCTTTCAACTTGGGACCTACGTATGGAAATGATGCTTAAACAGGGAATACATACAAAACTCAAATTTAGTTGAACTGACTTTCTCTGAGAGATCTGGCTAATTTGAACATTTTTTGTCAACTTTTGCTAATGGTGATTAAGTGTTAATTGCCTGGCATAACGCATAGAATGTGTGTTTGGGAGTCGCTCTAACTGCAAAATGACACTGCTCGTTGTCCTGAATCTCCCAGTTGATGTATTGTGACATTTAGCTTGTCAAAGGGTAATGAAATGTGCTCTTCCATTTTTATATATTCTACCATAGTACATTTTTTTTCTCGGTTGAGTCCTGATTTTTAATAATAATTTAATGAATTATGCTGGTAGCTCCTGTATGTTTACACATGTTCTCTCCCCCACAAATCTGAGGAGGATCTGACTCTACGTATCACACTGAACTTACACATCGTGCATCTGAAGGAAGGCACATGAAATATGGCTAAAAGTGTCCTTCCAGTGGTTTCAAACCAGGTGCTGTGTGTACGGTGTAAAACTCTGCATGTGTTAGTTTTGTGTGATAAAAATCTGCAGTGACCTTTATAAAACTGTGTGAATTTTGGGTGCATCAGTTTTTCTGGAAAAGGATGTGCTGTTGTTTTTAATGAAATCGTAACCCTGACTTTTTTCTTAGATGTACCAATCACGTACCAAGCAGAAGGAAGCCGGCAAGCCCTGAAGGTTTACTTCTACCTTGACAGCTACCATTTTGAACAGCTTCCTCAAAGGCTGAAGAATGGAGGGGGATTTAAAATCCACCCAGTACTTTTTTCACAAGGTATCTTGAGTTTTTAAAAATATTTTCCCTGCCAATTCTCTCACATAATATTCAACTCTCTTATTCTCTACTTATTCTCTACTTATTCTCTACTTATTCTCTACTTATTCTCTACTTATTCTCTACTTATTCTCTACTTATTCTCTCTGATTTCAAATCCTTTGTATCTACAAGGGCTTATATTTAACCATATTGCTTAATGTGGGCATTTGTGGAGAGCTTTGAATTAAAATTTGAATTTAAGAAATGCTGAGATTTGTGATAAAAAAATAAAAAAGGGAGGCGTCATTTCCAAGTTTATACCTGTTCTATGATTCCAACACCAAAGAATGAAACTTCTTTCATCAATATTGTTTTGTTCTCTGTAGACGTTTGTGGGACAACAGTCAGACCATGAAACTTGCTTTTAAAAGTGTTTTGCATTCCAAATGCTATCGTAGTCTTTCCTTCTTACTTCAAATTTAAGCACTAAATTGATATCCCCTGAGAATTCTGTCCCTCTATAAAATACGACGAAGGCTTAAATGGTATTTTCAGGCTTTTCTAATTATGACACTGCAAACCAAAATGATGGACGGTGGTGCTGATGCTCAGCCCGTTCATAAATTGCAGGCAGCCTGCGTTGGCAGAGGTGTCATTAGAGTCATCAGCAGCCTGGGGTTTGATTCACTGAAAGGGAGAGTGAGAGGCACTGATTGCCTTGAGCCACCTTTGATTTCAGGGAGAGCCAAAAGCGCTCTGTATCTCACAAAAGGCTTCCAGGGTCTGTGTGGAACAGGCAGAAATCAGGCACACGAATGAAGGTTTTGAGGAGGGCTTGGTCCCTGGCAGATGAGAATGTGAAAGGAAGTAGCAAACAGTAAGATGCATGAAGAAATAGCCAAACTTACTGTAAACTTAAAACACTTTTTTTTTTTTTTGG